TCTTTTATATTGATGTATCAGTTTTTATTTTGAAGCACTACATTTTAATCAATTCCAGCCATTTAAATAGACCTGTTTACTAAGAGGGAGTAAAGCATTTTATTAAAATAATTTTAAAGGGCAAGAACCAACATCTATGGAGCATCTATACATCTGATATTTTGCTATATAGTTAACATTATTTTCTTTAATCCTTAAATAATTCAGTGATACAAATTCTCTTCCTGTTTTACTTGTGAGAAATTGCCTAAGGGTACCCAGTGAGTGATAGGACTTATATTTTGAAATCCAAGTGTGCCAGAACATTGTTTGCCAACCATGAGAGATTTTTAGAGAGCAGATGGAGTACTCATCCACTAAATAGAAGATGCTCAATTGTGTAAACTAAAAGCATCTTTTGAAATTGTGGTTTTGTTACTTTTCTTACTGTGATTTTCAGTTTCATTCTTTGCCTGTTATCCAAATTCATGCTTACACAGCCATCTTTTAAGCTGTTCATTTATTAGAATGAACAGAAATGTTGCAGGTTGACACAACATTTTTTAATACGTATTTATTTTTGAGAGAGAGGGAGAGAGAGCATGAGCAGTGGAAGGGCAGAGAGAAAGGGAGAGAGAAGAATGAAAGTGACCTCTGGGCTGACAGCAGTGCGCCCAGCACCAGCTGAACTCATGAACCACCGTGAGACCATAACTAGAGCCAAAGTCGGATGCTTAACCAATTGAGCCACTCAGGTGCCCGTAAATTTTATTCTTCTAAAGAAGCTCAGTATTAGGCATTTAGTGTGTACCTTTAGATGAGCAAATAAATCTTAATAGGAAAGTCAGTATTGGGGCATAGTACAGCAAAATTAGTGTTAGTTTGTTAAATGTAAGATAATGCAGAGTAATTGATTTAAGATAATACTGAAACTAGGAAAAAAATCAAATCAGACATAATTTACTCTACCTAGGTAGAGTGCCTACTCTAAGCTTGTGAGAAGGTAGTATTTTAGAGTGGTACAGTGCATACTATTTAGCAGTGTGTGTTGGTAACTCTCCAATTGGATGGTGAACTCCCTTAAGTTCACTGTTAAGTATATGACATTTCAGATGACGTAACAGTACATTTTCCAGGAGATGCAGTTGGAAATACTGCAGTAGAAACTGATGAGACCTTATGCTAGAACTTTCCATATTTATTATTTATTTAATTATTTTTACAGAAGATAATAGTAGGAGCTATAAGATTTGATGAGCTTTAAAAGGTAGTTTGCAGAGAAGAACTTAGGAAACCTTGGAAAATATCCAACCAGGTCTGAAAAAGGAAGGGAGAACTCTCTTCAGTAAAATGAAGAGAGAAAAAGCTGTTCTGGCTATAAAAAAAGGAAAAGGGTCATATTGTGCTATGAAAATCCAGTGTATAGTTTCAGTGGTTGGTTACGAGTATCAAATGTTTAAGAACAAACAACAACGACACAAAAGCAAGAGAGCACAAGAACTGGGAAAAGCAAGGAGGTAGTCCCTGACCATTTTCAGTAGACTTATTTCATCTGAGTCAGAGTTTGGAAGTCAGGAGAGTAAGGGAATGAATTTTAAGATGCAGAGGCGCTGTTACAGATATTCGAAGAATATAGCAGTAAAAACAGAATCATTGAACTTTTAAACAGTGTCTTTCTAAGTTGGGAGAAATTGTGTTGTGATAAAGGCAGAAAAAAGGGACCTTATGAAGAGAGAGATATTGAAGGTCCTTGGGAAGGAAGGAAATAGTACTGAAAGGAAATTCTCATAAGGGGGTAGAAGAAGATGCTGGAGACAAGAGATAATCTCTGTGTTTGGATGGAGGTAAAATAAAAGTACAGAGTTTTAAAAAATAAACTTTCCCTGCCTAAAATAAAGACATTTCTGTTATACGTCTTGTAAAGGAAAGATTTTTCACTCTGATCACAGTTTCCAGTCAGTATACAGTGGGGCCAGAAATTCTTTCTTGGAGCTCTGCTTTTAGGAGTGTTCAGGAATGTATCCATTCTCCAAAAGTAGGGAGTAGTGTGGACTTTTTTTTACATGGATTTAAATTTTCTACATGGATTTAAAATTTGGGCAAGAATACCTTTCATTCAAATGGCTAAGCTGTAGGATCTAAGGATAATAATGGTTACATAAATTTTCATTTCCATTTTTAGGAAGGTTTCTTGAGTGACTGTCTTAGGAAACCTACCTCCTTTTAAAAATTACTTAACAAATATTTATTGACTTCTTTGTCAGACTCTTTAATAGGAGATATGGCAGGCACATAAATGGATGAATTAGGTTCCTGCTATTCTAGAAGTCACGTTCTAGTTAGCTTTGTAAACAAATTATTGACCCTTTTTCTCTGCTTAGATCATTTGCTTTTAAACACCAAAGTAATTTTAAGATAGAACATAAACATCAAATATATCCAGAAATGATCTGTTGCAAGAAGACACGAATGTAAAAAGTCAAGAGTCATGTCTCAAATTAAGGAGAAATTAACTTTAAACAGTATTTAAGGTGGGAATTGGAATAGTATTCTTTTAAACTATGTTTTCTGGGGTGCCTGGGTGGCTCAGTTTGGTGTCTGACTTTGGCTCAGGTCATGATCTCACGGTTCATGAGTTTGAGCCCCACTTCAAGCTCTGTGCTGACAGCTCTGAGCCTGGAGTCCGATTTGGATTCTGTCTCCTTATCTCTCTGTGCTCCTCCCTTGCTTGCACTCTGCATGCGTCTGTCTCTCTGTCTCTGTCTCTGTCTCTGTCTTTCTCTCTCAAAAATAAACATTAAACTGAAGAGTGGATCAAGAAGATGTGGTTTATCTATACAATGGAATACTACATTGCAATGAGAAAGAATGAAATCTGGCCTGTGTAGCAACATGGATGGAACTTGAGGGTGTTATGCTGAGCGAAATAAGTCAGGCAGAGAAGGATAGATACCATATGTTTGCATGTATGGGAGGATTAGGAGGAACTTAATGGAGGACTCTGGGGGAGAAGTAGGGGCAAAATAGTTGGGGAGAGGGAGGGAGGCAAACCATGAGAGATTCTTGAATGCTGAGAACAAACTGAGGACTGATGGGGGTGGGGAGACATGCGGAAGGGGGGTGATGGGCATGGAGGAGGGCACTTGTTGGGATGAGCACTGGGTATTATATGGAAACCAACTTGACGATAAACTATTATAAAAAATAAAAATAAAAAGTCATAAAAAAAATAAACATTAAAAAAGCTATGCTTTAAAAATACTCTGTTTAAACAAAGATTTATACAGTTGGCTTAATGGAAGTCCTGTTGTAGCTGATATGAACAGATAACCATTCAGTTATAATCTCTTCTGTCAGATATAAATGAAATATTTATTGATATTTACCTGTGAAAATACAAGGATATAGCACAGTTTTGCTCACTCAGTTTTTTAAGTACTTTGTTTTCAAGGTTTGGCTGTTCTTGGAAGGTCAGCAAGAATTTTTAAGAGATAAAGATAACATCTGGTTGTCATTACATTTAGGCAATCACCGTATTGACTTTTATGGACTATTCTCTACTAATTTTATGGCTAAAAAATTAATACTTGCATAAATCATAATATTGTTTGTAGCATGGCAGGAACAGATACTGTTTGCACGTACACAATTTTAGTACCAGAATAACATTTCTTTTTTTTTTTTTAAATGTTTTATTTATTTCTAGGAGAGAGAGACAGCGTGAGCAGGGGAGGGTCAGAGAGAGAGGGAGTCACAGACTGAAACAGGCTCCAGGCTCCGAGCTGGCAGTCAGCACAGAGCCCGACGCGGGACTCGAACCCACGATCCGTGAGATCATGACCCAAGCGAAAGTCGGACGCTTAACCGACTAAGCCACCCAGGCGCCCCTACAAAATATTTCAAAAGGCTGGCAAAAATCANACAGCGTGAGCAGGGGAGGGTCAGAGAGAGAGGGAGTCACAGACTGAAACAGGCTCCAGGCTCCGAGCTGGCAGTCAGCACAGAGCCCGACGCGGGGCTCGAACCCACAAACCGCGAGATCATGACCCAAGCGAAAGTCGGAAAGTCAGACGCTTAACCGACTAAGCCACCCAGGCGCCCCCAGAATAACATTTCTGAAGTCCAGTTTGCCTGGCACACGGGCCACTTTAATGGTAGAAATTGTTTTAGTTGGGGACTTCCAACTTGGTGGTTTAACAGACTGACTCCGTCTTTCAGAACAGATTAGTACATGTTGCTAGAATGCAGAGACAGAAAAGATGCCTTTGCCACTTGTACGGAAATTGCTGAGTTTATGAGAGGGTCAGAATGAATTTAATAATGTTGTTAAATGGGGTAGTTGGAGACGGTAGGTACATCTAGTTACTGGAAATTTAGTTGCAGAGAGTGGTATAAACTCCAGATACATTTATAATTATAATCTTAGGAGACTTGAGAGATGTTTCAAGAGCCCTTTCATCTTGGGCTTTCAAAAAATTTTCAAACAAAAACCGTAAAATACAAAAATATAGTAAGTGGAAAACATCCTAAACAAGACATTAGCTATGTTTTCAGCTGTGTGATCTTTTATGAATCTCAGTTTCCATATAGATGTAAAACAGAACTTTCAGGAAAAATAAAGTATGTTATAAAACAAGATATGTAATCAAATAATGTATATGAAGGTACATCATAATATAAAAACAAATGTGCAAGCAAATTTAAGGTAATGATACTATATTTTTAATTTTTACGAAGTCACTTAATAAAAGAGACACATACTAAAGCTAATATTGCCAGAAGTTTTAGAAGGAAGGGTAATAAGAGATGGAGAAAAGGAGGTAAAATATGAGCTTATACTGAGCATTTGAAATCATTCTTGTTAAATTAGCATGTTGTCATTTTGTGAAAGCACTGTAATAAAAATAACTAAGATGACACTTTTCAGTTTTGATATAACAGGCGGTTGGATTTGTCATTTTATATACATTTGAAGAATAAGTCCACATCTTTTCCTCTTGTCTTTAAACTTAAACTCGAAGGTTATGAATATTGATGGCACTGGGAGACGAGTACTGGTGGAAGACAAAATTCCTCACATATTTGGGTTTACATTGTTGGGTGACTATGTTTACTGGACTGACTGGCAGAGGCGTAGCATCGAAAGAGTACATAAACGAAGTGCAGAGAGGGAAATCATCATAGATCAACTTCCTGACCTCATGGGCCTAAAGGCCACAAATGTTCATCGAATCATCGGTAAGTAATTCAAAAATTCCTTCAGAGTTGGATGCCAAGAATGAGAATAGATAGATAGTGGCTTATAAAGCACCACTGTAAATTGTTGCTGTTTTGAGAGAATATAGAAATCATCCATTAATTATTTTTCAACAAGGAATGTGCCTCTTAAATGTTGGCTTAGTACTCTGGCTACATAGTTTGGCTTGAAGGGCTGCATATATACACACGCACACACCTGCTTCATTAAAAGAATTCTGTCCTATTGTATGAATAACATAACTTATTTTAAAGCTTACTGTGGGTACAAAGGAAAATATTTGCATGTCTTTTATTTCCAGTTGCTGAGCAATGGGTTTTGACCTGTCCCGTTTCCAACTTGGGCCAACGCACAGCCCTTAGGTAGTCTGGTGGTACCCCGTTCCCCAGAGGGTTCCACATTGATGCTAACTAGTGTGCACAGCCGACCTAACAAAGTGCATACGCTACAACTTGGAACTCCTGGGCCCAGGCAGACCCCCTGCCTCAACCTCCTGAGTAGGTGGGACTACAGGCCTGTGCCACTGCACCTGGCTTTTTATTCTCTATTAATCCTCACAGTATTCATCTATGAGATTAGGATTGAAGCTATATTTAGGAGCAGATATAATCATAGGTCTTTGTGAACCACACGCCTAGTCATTTTAAAGTGAAAATAGTTGATTGTGTCGATGTGTGTGTCCTGTGCCCTTTTATAATTAACGTATCTTTTAGGTTCCAACCCTTGCGCAGAGGAAAATGGGGGATGTAGCCATCTTTGCCTGTACAGGCCTCAGGGCCTTCGTTGTGCCTGCCCCATTGGCTTTGAGCTCATCAGTGACATGAAGACTTGCATTGTCCCAGAGGCTTTCCTTTTGTTTTCACGGAGAGCAGATATCAGGCGAATTTCTTTGGAAACTAACAATAATAATGTGGCCATTCCTCTCACTGGTGTCAAAGAAGCTTCTGCTTTGGATTTTGATGTGACAGACAACCGTATTTACTGGACCGATATATCCCTCAAGGTTAGCTAAAAGAATTGGAATGTCAAAACCAGAGACTAAAAGAGCATCTAAAATTTCTCAGTATTCATTCTGTAATCACTCCCCCTTGTTTAATAGGCAGAATTCAACAAAAGTCCTTTACTTTTTTTTTTTTTTTTAATATTTTTTAATTTATTTCTAGGAGAGAGAGAGAGAGACAGCGTGAGCAGGGGAGGGTCAGAGAGAGAGGGAGACACAGAATCTGAAACAGGCTCCAGGCTCTGAGCTGGCAGTCAGCACAGAGCCCGAAGCGGGGCTCGAACCCACGAACCGCGAGATCGTGACCTAAGTGAAAGTCGGACGCTTAACCGACTAAGCCACCCAGGCGCCCCAAGTCCTTTACTTTTTAAAGGAAATCAAGGAGAACATCCATTCAGTGTTTAAATAAGTGCTTTTTTAAAAATACAAGATACTTTGCTTGAGTGTTCTTAATCTGCAAGACATAATCTTTCTCTGCTTTATTCCATTTGAGGATAATGAGTGACATTTTTTGCAGTTAAAGAGTAAACAATTGAAGTCCCATATAAAGGCTTATAGAGACTTGACTTATTTTAAACAAAATTTTGTAGTCTGGCTGAGGTAGAAAATGCCAATTATGAGTTAGAATATACCTTTATTTTCTTTTTCTTAAAATAAATATTGAAAAGCAATTATGAGACAATAAGAGAAAGGAGCTCCCGAACAGAAAATCTGGAGAATAATCTTTCCTTCTTCTAGATTGTTTTGGGCTTATTTCAGATAATTTGTGTAAAATTTGTCTAATGTGCAAAAATTATGGAGTGTTGGAGCCAGAGTTGGATTCTAATGGTGTTCAGTAAAATCTATTAAATGAATGAATAAATGAAGTAAAATAAGTATATTTTGGCTTGTACTGTATGGTCTTCTAAGTTTTCTCATCTTGAAAATAGAGATAATGTCTATCTTGCAGGGCTATTTCGAGGATTAAATGAGGAAATATGTATACACAAGGTGCTTAAGGTAGTGCTTGCCAAGAAGTAGCAGCCATTATTAATGGCTTGAATTATGATATGAAATTTTGGGAACCCAGAGCTACAGTGGTAATAATCTGATAATGGTTATATACATTTATGACGTATATATAGGGTTGTTGAGATCTTTTCAGATTGACACAATGATATGGCATACTCTCAGGAACCTTTAGGAAGTTGACCACCATTTCTGAGTCTACAGCATTCTGGTCATATTTTTTCCACTTGATTACTAATAGGTTTTAAAAGCAAATTATTCCACTGTCTTATTAGAATAAATTTCTGGTCCTTAAGAAATTACAAAAATTTCTCCTTGGCTTGACTTGAGGTCACAGTTGCATTTATTAGAGATTGACATCAGGCTTTTTCTGTGCCTGTAAAATATGTGAATTGTATTAAGAAGCTATGCTTCTGGATCCTCCCACCCAACAAAAACCAGAACTCTGCTTTCTGGATAGTGCTTTATACTTAAGCCAAGTGATTTTGTTATTAATCTTATTCTTACAGACCATCAGCAGAGCCTTTATGAATGGCAGTGCCCTGGAGCACGTGGTGGAATTCGGCTTAGATTATCCAGAAGGCATGGCAGTAGACTGGCTTGGGAAGAACCTGTACTGGGCAGACACAGGAACGAATCGAATTGAGGTGTCAAAGTTGGACGGGCAGCACCGACAAGTTTTGGTGTGGAAAGACCTAGATAGTCCCAGAGCTCTTGCGTTGGACCCTGCTGAAGGGTAAACAGCTTTTATGGATGCATTCTTTGCAAGTGTGTTGCCCATAGCCTAGTTACGGACTGTATTTTTGATGTCTTAAATAATGGTTACTAGGAATCTGATCAATAAACTGTAGGTAGGCTTTATTTTAAAACCCATTAGTTGAGATTTCACTGATTTAGAACTAATTATTAGCTGTGTCTTTTGTCATTATTAACATTAGGTAAAGGAAGATTGGTGAGATAGATTACTAATTAAATACTATTGATCATATCTGTATGCTAATAAACAGCCTTTTTAAGGATATCAAGTTTGCATTTGCTTGCATCCTGTCTGAAGTTAAACCAGATTCCAAAACCCACTGAAATTATGCCGTGTACTAAGAAATAGCTGCATTTTAAAAAGCTCCATTTTAGACTATTCATTAATTCAAAGTGGACAGTTAGTTTGATCTTTGTTAAAAGCTTAGAGAAACTTTGATATTAAATAGTAAACTGTTTTCAATTAAAAAAATTATTTACAACACAATGTTTTTCAAGGATAGGTGATCCTCTTATGTGATTTAGCAAGTTTTAAAAAGCCAACAGCTAAGAAATCTGAAATTGGAAGAATAATTCCACTTCTAAAAGCAGAAGTTAACAATGTGAACACAGAAGCATATTTACCCTATCTGTAATTAAAAATAGATTGCTTGAAATGACATCAATTCCATTATTACTTAGTTACCATCTAGTTAGAAGGCTATAGCAGAGACGGTTTCTCTGCGCTGACATGTTGTGGTTGGATTACGGTGGTCTTCACTCTAAGCATTAGTTGCCAAACAGATAAATTTCATAGTTGGGACTAAGGACTCCAGTTTATTTGGCTGCTGGCAACTGTGACATTTGTCTCACAGTTGTTTGTCTGCTTCTTGTGTGCACGTGTCTGTCAGCTGACAAGTGCAAATGCAAAAGCCCAAGACTAACGTTAATTTTCAAAAAAGCATGTTCATGCATTGCTACAAGTCAGCCGTCAGCCGACTGGCTGATGAGTAAATGTCTGTCCTCAGGTATTTGATGAGAGTTGGCATGTGGAGTGCTTTTCTAGTTTCAGTATTTGGAATGTCTCAAAACTAGCACCTTACTAGTTTAGTTGAAAAGTACTTAACTAAGGATTAGGTTCTTGTTCTAGCTCTGCCATGTGACTTAGTTAAAGAAATTAGATCATTCACATTTCTTTTATTGCTTTTGCCTCTTTACATCTATAAATATCAGCCTATACCGTGGGGCTGCTCTAAGGTTAATGTGAAAAACTTGGAAAAAAGCAAGAGAGTATTCTAAAATTTTACAGGAATTATAGTAGTAGTGTTTACTGCCCAGCTGACACTATAAGGGGTGATTCACTGCTCTTATACACATAGTATGTTCCTTTGGACTGTGTGACCAAATACATTTCAAACTTTGCTTTTTAACTCCATTTAAAGACTAGTTAATTTTTCCTTTGATACACTCCTGCAATTTGTTTTTGGGGGGAGATGATTATATAAGTTGAAAAATTAGTCTAAAAATTTAAAACCTCCAATTACTTGTGTTCAGAAATATGTAAAGATATAAAAATATTTTATGAGGAAGTGAATCAGATTCTGAGTCCAGTAAGTTTTTGGTATCTTCTTGAATATTAGTCGTATAAATGCAAGTCTGCAGTATGGATATTACTGGCTTGTTTCCAGTTCCTGGGTTTTGGATGGAACAGATTCATTGGAAAGACTAAAGAAAGCTGACTCACTTCCTTTTTAGGATATGAGAGAAAATATTTAGTTGAGGGTGCCAAAATAATTGAAAAAATCATAACCGTGATTTTGTTTCACCGATTTCCTTGATTTAGTGTATATTTTCTTTAAATTTATTTAGTTACCATGCATGAATGTGACCCTTTCTCCCAAATAATCAAAAGTGACCTGTTACATATCTGTTGTTTTGAATTTAGATTTATGTATTGGACTGAATGGGGTGGAAAACCTAAGATAGACAGAGCTGCCATGGATGGAAGTGAACGTACTACATTAGTTCCAAATGTGGGGCGGGCAAACGGCCTAACTATTGATTATGCTAAAAGGAGGCTATATTGGACAGACCTGGACACCAACTTAATAGAATCTTCAAATATGCTTGGTAAGCTGTACTTTTTTTTTTTTTCATCAGGTAGATAGTATGTTATTCTTTCTGTGCAGAAATCCATAACTGCTATTTGCCATTGGTTAGATACTATTAACAGAAATTCATATGAATGTCTAGATTCTCTGTCTGACGTTGTATCCTGTTTATTATTATTAATAGTGGGCCAGGTTCTTGGATTCGCATCTCCTTATTTTGTTGAAATTTCATTATTGTTGGGCTTGTGGTGGAATTTATAACTCCCTAGGTATTCCTGAAGTGACTTTTTATACTAGTAAAATACAGTATATGCATTTCCATCTTTGTATGGAAGGAAGACGAAAAGTTCAACCCTTATGGAGAGAAAATAAGATCACAGTCAAAACAGACCATTTGGAGTTTAAACAAACTCAAGAGATTTAAAGCAAGAATGGAGGTTTGAGGCATGGGGTCAGACTGCAGATGGATTGATTTCACAGGACTGGTCTGGTTTTAAAATTGCTTTTAAATAAATTGTTCTATTTTAAATTGCTTACAAATGTAATATTTTATATGTTACAACTTTTTTTCTTTTGGCCAATAAAACTCTTTACCCTCACATGTTTCATACCTCTGTTTTTCCCCTGTCTACTGCCTTTCTGAAAATAGGACTCAACCGGGAAGTTATAGCAGATGACTTGCCTCATCCTTTTGGCTTAACTCAGTACCAAGATTACATCTACTGGACGGACTGGAGCCGACGCAGCATTGAACGTGCCAACAAAACCAGTGGCCAAAACCGCACCATCATTCAGGGCCATTTGGATTATGTGATGGACATCCTCGTCTTTCACTCCTCTCGGCAGGCAGGGTGGAATGAGTGTGCTTCCAGCAATGGGCACTGCTCCCACCTCTGCTTGGCTGTGCCAGTTGGGGGTTTTGTTTGTGGGTGCCCTGCCCACTACTCTCTTAATGCTGACAACAGGACGTGCAGTGGTAAGCTGCGTTCCCCCCTGGGGCAAACTAGAATTTGGGGAGAAGGCCGGATTTTGAAAACACTGTAGTTCATGTTCTTTCTAGAGTTAAGAAGTTGTAGAAGTTCAGAGTTGATCATTTAACAAAAGGAAAGGACTAAAGATGGAAAAATGCACGTTTTTGTAACTTACTGTTTGATGACAGCCAGTTGCTCTTACGGAAAAACTGGTAATACAGGAAAATTAAGTCTTTTACTTTTGAGCACTAAAATATTTAGTGCATAGTTGCATAGCTTCATTGAGACTGTCACTCATGCATGCTATATATAATTTATTATATATTTGTTATGTTATATTTATTATAAAGTACAGACAGTAAAACAGAATCTTCAGAATACAACCTCCTTGTCCTTTGAAGTTCATAGTATAGACTAAAGGTAAAAAATTTAAGTGTATAAGAGGCCAGGTGGAAAATGCTATTTTTTATGTAAATTTATCCTGGTATATATTGTAAATATATGGGCAACTAAAGAGCACATGTTCGGAGCATAATGGGTGGTCACTACTTAATTCCAGCGGATTTATCAGATCTTTTTCATCATCCAGATTTTTCTTGGCTGCAATATCCTCTGATATTTAAATATTAGCAGTACATACTACATATTAAATACATGTTAACCACACACCTGTGCTAATGACAAGACACAATGTATAACAAACATTGTTGGCTTGGGGAAACCTGGTTTATGACTCAAGTATGTGAGAAGGCCCATGTCTTCTAGAACAAATTGCTAGATATGATAAAGAAATAGAGAATTCGATCAGAAAGAATAAATTCATGGCAGAGGAGTGTACGATATGGTTCACTCTGGTAGCTGGTAACAAAACTGCTATAGGATATTGGATTAGCTATTAATTATTCAGTTATTAGTCACATATATGACATGATAATGTAATATGTAAAAATATATGAAATACATACTGTATAAAAAGTTTAAAATATATATTCTACATGATAACATATTTAAATCTAACATACAATGTTAAATAATGTATATAATAATAATAGCTATTATATGTTCAGTTAACTATTGAAATTACTTTATTCTGTGACTGAAAGTATAAGAAGTCATATAGGAAAGGATTCATTGTATTCTGACACAAACCTTCAGTTGTAAAAAAGAAAGGATATAAGTTTTATAGTCTAAAGATTTAGTGGAGTCTTTGCCACATAATAGTTCTTAGTTTTACTAAAGTTACATAAATTTTTTAAGCCTGAATTTTCTCTTTTGTAAAATGGGAATAACAATAATAGTAACTACTGTGTAAAGTTGCTGTGAAAATTAAGATAGAATATGATTTGATTGTTGTGTAGAACGGATATGAAGAGAAAGAGTTACGGTAGCAGGGAGGTCAGCCAGGCTGCTGTGGTAATCTGGTAGGTTTGCTTGGGGCGTGGCAGTGCTGACAGAGAGAAGCTGATGGGTGGAAGGTATATTTTGGAGCTAGAATGAGCAGAACAATAGGTTGTATGTGAAGAAGAAGAAGTGGGAGGAGGCAAGGGTGACTTTTAGAGTTTTGGTTTGAGTAGTTAAGTAGGTAGGAGATGAGAAGACTAGAGTGAGAAGTTTAATTTTAGGCATGTTTATATTAATTTCCCTATGGGACATTGACATAGATACATTTAATAGGTAGTTCGATAGAAGAGGGGAGACATGAGGTTGAAGATAAATAAATTTTGGAATTGCCAGAACGTATTTAAAATGGGCAAGATTACTTAGGGAGAGGGTATGGAGCTAGAGTTTGCAAACTTTCTGTAAAGGGCCAGGGAGTAAACATTTAGGCTTTGTGAGTCATATAATTTCTCATACCTGTTCAACTCTGTCTACTGTAGCATCAAAGCAGCCATAGACAAGACATTTTTAAAACGTGTCTGAAATCCAAAAAACTATTCCAAAACAGCAGGGCAAGATATAGCTGTGGGCTGCAGTTTGCCAGCTCCTGGTATAGAGAAAGGAAGGGGCCTGGTAACCTAAGGAGTCTGTCTGAGGAGGGAGAGCTTGCAGTGGACACCAAAAAGTAGCATCCAGAGGGGTAAAAGGAAAAGCACTGGAAATAAGATCATTCCAAAGCCGAGAACTGTGCTGAATGCTGTTGACGGGCTGAGTTAGGGGAATCCCAGAATCATGTCCACTGGATTCTTAAAGAAGGTGGTGATTAGTAGCCCTGAAGAGATGAGTTGCAGGGAAGTACTGGTTAAAGATTAGAGTTGGTCAGAATGTGAGTGGGGACGGGGAAGGGAGGTAGTTCTCTTTTTCAAGGAGTTTGACGTTGAATGGAAGGAAGAAAATAGAAGTAATGACTGATGGAGAATGGAGACAAAGGGAATATGGAAAGACCTTTTGAGATCATTATTGTTTTTGCTGCATATATTTGTGCGTATTAGTTGCTGAGTGAAGGCCGTGAGAAATTGGTGCCAAGAGTCCCCATATCTATTTGTCTTTGGCTGCCTTTTGGAGATAGATCAGCAGGGCTTCAAGTGGCTTTCTGTTGTGTAGTCTTTTTTTTTTTTTAAGTTTACTTATTTATATTAGAATGAGAGAATGCAAGCAGGGGAGAGGCAGAGAGAGAGAGAGGGAAAGATAATCTAAAGCAGGCTCTGTGCTTCTAGAGTGGAGCCCGATGTGGGACTCAAACCCACAAACTGAGATCATGCATGACCTGAGCCAAATTCAGGAGTCGGGTGCTTAACCTGCTGAGCCATCCAGGTGCCCCAGTTGTGTCCTCTTTTTATAATTAGTACTACTTAATATTTGTGTAAAGATATATTAGATTCCAAGGCAGATTATGAGAGAAATTTAACACAAAGTGCTTGCCTTTAGAAAGTTTTCTAACATTGTGTATAAATTACTTCTTGACCTGTGTTTCATGTATGTATGTATGTATGTATGTATTCTTTTCAGATTTTTATTTAAGTTCTAGTTACAGTGCAATAGTGGTTTCAGGAGTAGAATTCAGTGATTCATCACTTACATATAACACCCAATGTTCATCATAACAAGTGCCTTCCCTAGTACCCATCATCCATCTAGCCCCTCCCTCATCCACTTCCCTCCATCAATCCTGAGGTTGTTCTTTATCTTTAAGATATAGTTTGTTTACCTTTCTCTTTTCTTTTTACTCCCCCCTCCCATATGTTCATCTGTTTTGTTTCTTAAATTCCACATGAGAGTGAAAGCATAAGATGTTTGTCATTCTCTGACCGACTTATTTTGCCTAGCTAATACACTGTAGCTCCATTCACATTGTTGCATATGGCAAGATTTCATTCCTTTTGATGGTTGAGTAATATTCCATTGTATATATACTACATCTTCCATTCAGTCAGTGGACATTTGGGGTCCTTCTATAGTTTGGCTGTTTGTTGATAATGCTGTAAACGTTGGGACATGTGAACCCCTTTGAATTAGTAATTTTGTATCCTTTGGGTGAATACCTAATAGTGCAATTGCTGGATTGGAAGGTAGTTCTATTTTTAACTTTTGAGAAACCCCCATGCTGTTTTCCAGAGTGGTTGCGCCAGTTTGCATTCCCGCCAACAGTGTGGGAGGGTTCCCCTTTTCTCTGCATCCTCCCCGACAGCTGTTGTTCCTTGTGGTGTTAATTTTAGCTATTCTGACAGGTGTGAGGTGGTATCTCAGTGTGGTTTTGATTTGTATTTCCCTGATGGTGAATGATATTGAGCATCTTTTCATGTTTGACCTGTGTTTCAAAAGCTAAATCAGATCATGTTGTTTCTCTGCTCAAAACCTTACAGTGGCTCCCCATTTCATACAGAGTAAAGACCTAGTTCTTATAATGGCGTACCGGTTCCTACGTGATCTGCACCCTACAGTTTGCATCCTTCCCCTTTGCTTCTCTAACCTTGGCTTTCACTATTCTCCCCCTTGCTCTCTTCGTGACAGCTACACTAGCCTTGTTGCTTTCAAATATGCCAGTCACTCTCAGCTCTGGATTACTGTACTGCTTATTGCCTTTTGGAATGTTTTTCCTCCAAATATTTACATGGATATACTTCATCTCCAGGTCTTTGCTTAATTGTGACCTGCACAGTGAGACTGGATCTGCCCTATTTAAAATCGCAAATCATCCTTCCACCCTAGTTAGCATTGCCACATCTCCTTACCTGTACTTTTTCTTTTTCCTGTAACACTTATTCTTTGTTATCGTATATAATTTATGTGCCCTCATATTTATATACTATAACTTCTTAATTATGTTAATTGCTTATTGTCTGTTTATTGGAACATAAACTCCCTGGAGCAGTGTTTTTGTTTTGTTTTGTTTTTCACTGATCTTAGGTGCCTAGAACCATGCTTGGTAAATGGTAATGATTCAAGAAATCATTGTAAATTAAAAGAATGAAGAAGCAGGGAAGGACATGGAAAAATACATGTGCTATTCCATTCACCAGCTTCGTGACCTGGGGAAGATAGTTAACCTCTCTGAGTTTGCTTACCTAAAAATGGAGATGATAATTTGGGGATTAATATCTAGAAGATGAGTGACATGTTGGAGGTCCTAAATAAATGTTGGTTTCTTGTCCTTCCCAATTATCTGAAATAATTATATTCTCTTACTTTCAAAATTGGGGCTACAGGGCTATCCCTTAGTTATTGTGATCTAATGCTTATTTCTTTGTGTGTTTATTCATTTATTCTTCCAATGAATATTTACTGAATGTGTGCTACATACTGGGCATTATTCGAGCCAGTAGAAAATGTAGCAGTGAATGAAATAGTCCAGTGGGACAGATAGCAAACCAAGTAAGTAAACTATATCATGGGTTAGATGGAGATAAATGTTTTGGAGAAATATTAAGAGCAAGAAGGGGTGAGGAGGAGGGTTGCAAGTTAAATACAATGATCAGAGGAATCCTTACTGATAAAATGACATTATTTCAAGAACTGAAGGAGGTGAGGAAATGAGCTATGTGGATATCTGTGAGAAGACCTGTTAAGCAAAAGAGACAGCAAATGCAAAGGCCCTAGGAGGAGCATGTCCGGCATGTTAGAGGGACACCTAGGGGGCCAGTGTCCCTGGATTAGAGTGAATAAAGAGATCAAGTCAGGGAGGAAACAAGCCAAATTGTGTAATCCCTTGTTCAGTACTGAGGTGGCTGGTCTCTTTGGCACCTTTGTGCAAATTAGGAAAAGATGGTTTCCTTTCAGCAGTTGCAGCCACACAGGTGCATGGCTTGGCTGATAAAGTGTGGACTGGACTTTGGTCCCTCCTCATGCCCTTGGCACAGTGCACAAACGGCATAGTCAGGTGAGATGGACTTGGCCTTGTAGTTTATGAAGTTCTTCCACAAGAGCATCGCCTTCCTGTAAGCTGCAGGTGAACAATTATACCTTCGAAAGGAGCTGAAAACCTCCCTCCTACTTCACACCACGTCTGTCTACATTGTGAGAATGTAAAACTCAGCCTGTATGACAGTTTTTAAAGTACCGTTCTTCAGGAGATGAGGGAGCTAGGGGTTACATAAATTAGGGTGGATTTGGGCTTACAAAATTGCATATTCTTTGTCACTTAAGCGCTGAATGAGTGAATCAAGTCTTCATTGAAATAAGTGAAAACATCAGCTTCTGTTACTGTCATATGTAGACCTTTCAAAACAAGCATTTATTTGAAGCTGTGTTTGACTTTGTCTTAATCTACATTTCTAAAACACCTAATTGTATTATCTAATTGAAGGCTAAAACTTGCCCCCCTCAAAAAAAACAAACAAACAAAAAAAGTGCCCAGTAAAAATGGTAGGAGCCAAATATATATTTGATTGTTTCCCCGGCAGAAAAAGTTGCAACTAAAACTCTGGAGTCTAAGCCTCATTGTATGTCTTAGTACTAAGTGGTGATTTTTGTGTTGGAAACTTTAGAGCTTCCCCCCACCCCTTTTTTATTCAATTACAAGAAAGTGGTACTGCCAAAAAATAATTCTTTGAAAAAAAAGCTACCCTGTTGTGACACACATTCTTACTACTTAGGGTGGGTGTTCTACTCAAATTGCTAAAAGTTGTTAGACCAGTATGTGTTGGAGCCAACTCCAGATAATGGAGGGTTCCAGTGCAGTCCTGGGGATCCTTTCTGAATCTTCCAAGCCAGGTATGGGCTTCTCGCCAGTGAAGAATTTACATAAGGCAGAATTTCAGTGTTGTGAACGTAGCATTGTGTGTCAGTTATGCTTCATTTAAAAAAACAAAAGAATTTCAGTATTCTAAATACCAAGTTTCTTATGAGTACCAATGAGTTTCCTTGGGATTTAAGCCATTTGCATGTAAATGTACAGTAAACCAGGGAACCACACCTGATGGAGTCGTGAAGAATGGGCCCTGGGAGGAAATACAGCAAGGACTTCTAGATTGGCCATTTATGTTTATGTCCATGAAAAAAAAATTCTACTGAATTTAGGTGATGACTGAATACCAAGAGAATGGAGTATAACTATGGAATTTTTATATATGGTTTAATGAAGATCTTCGAAATACTTAATAGACTTTGAAGTTGTTGGTAGCACTGTCAAATGCTGTTTCTTTATTTTATTTTTTGAGCAAGAGATGGTGCAGGGGTGGAGCAGAGAAAGTGGGAGAGAGAGAATCTCAAGTGGGTCTTGATCTCAACCATGAGATCGTGACCTGAGCCGTTATGCTGATGGCAGAAGTTGAACACTTAACCCACTGAGCCACCCAGGTGCCCCAAATGTTGATGTTTTCTAGACGTTTTCCTACATAGTAATCAGTGGCTGAGTCCCCAGGGTTATCTCTATTGCATTCCCCATTTCATTAACCTAGGACATCAACTTGATATCAGATTAATATTTTTTTTTAAATATAAATACAAGGGGTTTTTTTTTTTAATAAGGATAGAGATAATGAATATAAAGTGTTTGTTATTACTAGTTTTGTGTATGCAGGTGCATGTCTGTGAGAACAAACAAGAGAGAGATTTTTACTGGCTTTCCTTGCAATTATCCACACAATGCAAAATAAAACCTGTAATTACAATCCATGAGAATTTAATTTTTATTAGTACTAACTTTATTACTGCTACTACTGATACAATAAACAATAGTTATTTTACTTTATGTTTATATAACACCTTACACTTTTTTACTGAAGTATAAATGATGTAATGCTTTACATTTTTTAAATGTTTATTTTTATTTTTTTTAATGTTTATTTTTGAGAGAGAGAAAGACAGAGCATGAGCAGGGGAGGGGCAAAGAGAGAGGGAGACACAGAATCTGAAGGAGGCTCCAGGCTTTGAGCGGTCAGCACAGAGCCCCACGTGGGGCTCGAACCCATGAACTGAGAGATCATGACCTGAACCGAAGTTGGACACTCCACCAACTGGGCCACCCAGGTGCCCCAATGTTTATTTATTCTTGAGAGAGAGACAGAGTACAAGCAGGCAAGGGGCAGACGGAGAGGGAGACATAAAATCCAAAGTAGGCTCTAGGCTCCAAGCTGTCAGCACTGAGCCCAACATAGAGCTTGAACCCAGAAACTGAGATAATGAGCCCAAGTCAGGTGCTCAACTGACTGAGCCACCCAGGTGCCCTGAGAGAATCCCAAGTAGGCTCCACATTGACAGTGCAGAGCCCGAAGCGGGGCTTGAACTCACGAACTCTGAGACCATGACCCGAGCCGAAATCAAGAGTAGGAGGCTTGGGGCGCCTGGGTGGCTTAGTCGGTTAAGCGTCCGACTTTCGCTTGGGTCATGATCTCGCGGTTCGTGGGTTCGAGCCCCGCGTCGGGCTCTGTGCTGACTGCCAGCTCAGAGCCTGGAGCTTGTTTCAGTCTGTGACTCCCTCTCTCTCTGACCCTCCCCTGCTCACACTGTCTCTCTCTGTCTCCTAGAAATAAATAAAACATTAAAAAAAAAAAAAAAAAAAAAAAAAGAGTAGGAGGCTTAACCAACTGAGTTACCCAGGCGCCCTTAATTCTTAAAGTATCTTCATAAATGTAAAATTCTTATAGGAACTCAATGAGCAGGACAAGACAGCTGTAACCTTATTTTAGAGTTGAGCAAACTTTGACCCAAAGAGGTTCAGTGACTTAGTTATGATCAAGTGACTAGATAATGAGAGAGCTGAGACTAAAATCAGTCTTGAAATTTCTGCCTTGACCTGTGGAAACCCAGGTTTCCTGCCACCCATGGAATAAGTTATGGAGGAGTAGGGTTACTCACTTGGCACACAAGGAGAATTTTGATATCTTTATCAAATGCTTTATTGAAATCAAGTCTACTTTTATAGCACTGTGGACAAGATGGAACAAAATAGTCTAGGGGCCTATGTCACTGGGTAAATTCATAACTGGTTTGGTAGAACAGTGCTCATTAGTGTCACCTTAAGGAGAATTTCTAGGGACGTGCCAGAGGGTTTTGTCCTCAACCTTACCTCTTTAACGTCTGGGTCTGTTTTGTGTGAAATGTAGACAACAGAGTTTGATCAAGTCTTTGAGTGATACAAGATTTAGAGTAATTGTATTTAAAATTTGCTCTTTTCTTTATTTAAGCACCAACTACTTTCCTGCTCTTCAGTCAGAAAAGTGCCATCAACCGCATGGTGATTGATGAGCAGCAGAGCCCTGACATCATCCTTCCTATCCACAGCCTTCGGAATGTCCGGGCCATTGACTATGACCCACTGGACAAGCAACTCTATTGGATTGACTCACGGCAAAACATGATCCGAAAAGCACAAGAAGATGGCAGCCAGGTAATTCAGGGCTCAGTTCAAATTCTGTTTCCTTTGCCCAGTAATTGGACTAACCAACCAATCTGTTTTTCTTAATTCTCGAGTCGGGGGAGGGAGCCTGAAATTCTGGACCTAGCAGCTTTTTTTCCTCCTAATGATCTTTGATCATTATCAAAGATCTTAATTGTTGGAGATGCTGTTGGAATAAAAATTGTATAAGGAAACTTAGGTTCATTATGTTGGTAATGACTTTGTGACCGCCACTCACTCATATCTGTTTATTTTTTTCCATTATGGTTTCATTTACATGGAGTGTTAGAAGCTTTGAAATTAAATAGACCTTGGTTTTGATCTATCTGTGTCACTAAGATTCTTAGGAACTTTTTAGCTGAAAACAATGTAAAACATATAGCTCAGTATCTGTTACATAGTATGTATAGACTCAGTAAATAACAGTTCTATCATTATTAATTATTTTTAAGAGGTTTAGAAGGGTGAGTTGATCATTTATTTAGGGGCTGTTGAAGGATCATTGAGGGGTGTAGCTATAATGGTATATCACAGATGCACCTTACACTATGTAGACCAGGACTCACAGGCTGAGAAGTAATAGAAATTATAGCTGTTATTACACAGCCAAGGACACAGCACATAAATGAGATAGTCTCATTAAGGAATATATTATCTCAGGGTTGCCAGGTAAATGAAATATAATTTATTCACATAGAACAGATAAACAGAACCTGTTTTGTTTTGCTTCGTTTTGTTAAAAACTTTTTTTTTTTTTGGTGGTTTGAGGATTGGAGAAGGACATGACAAGTCAATGTGGTTTCTGGCCCTAATTGCTGTTGTCTTTGTAAGCGGTTTCTCACCTTCAGCACTGTTGACATTTTTAGGCTATATAACTCTTTGTTGTGGAGGGATGACCCATATACTGTAAGCTGTTTAACAGCATCCCTGACCTCCACCCGCTAGATACTAGTTGTGCCCATATAGATGTGGCCGTCAAAAATGTCTGCCCATCGTGCCAGAGGCCCCTGGTCGAGAACCACTGCTTTGGAGGACTTGTAGGGACGGTTCTAGCTGCAGCTGGATCCAGTTTACAGGACGCTGCTGCCACCTTCCCACTCTCATCAGTGCACTGCCAGCCTCCTAGAGCAACTAATGCGGCCCCAGCTCCCTCCTCTGCTACATGTCATAATAGCCAAAGGGAACCTTTAAAATGCCTGATAACAAAGAAGCACATTACCCATAAAAAAAAAATCTATTATTAAGAAATGTCTGGTGAGACTTGAGAGTTCCTTCTCAGGTTTGTACTAGGTAGCAGTAGTGAGCGATCACCTCAGGGCTCTCTGGATTGGAGTCTAATTTTCTGTGTGTGTGTGTGTGTCTGTTTCTTTCCCTAGGGTTTTACTGTGGTTGTGAGCTCAGTTCCAAATCAGAACCTGGAAATACAACCCTATGACCTCAGCATTGATATTTATAGCCGCTACATTTATTGGACTTGTGAGGCCACCAATGTCATTAATGTAACAAGATTAGATGGGAGATCAATTGGAGTGGTATTAAAAGGCGAGCAAGACCGACCTCGAGCCATTGTGGTAAACCCGGAGAAAGGGTGTGTTTCTCAGGTTGCATTTAGAGATCTTGGCATCTGAGGCCCTTGTCAGCCTTCCTTTTCAGCTCATTTCAGCTCTTTTCAGCTTACCTTAGAATATCCTGTGCTTTAGTGAAAAGCCTGAATATTCCCTATCTACCTGCCCCTGCATTTTCTTATACTTTTGCTTTCTCTGATTTTACTGCCTAGAATTTCTTTCCTTTGCCACTACTGCTTTAGTTCTAATTTCTGCCCATACATCCGAGACCATTAGAACTGCAGGGAGCTTCTCCATCTCGCCCAGCCCACCCTGGTGTGGTTTTCCCCTTTCCTCAGATACCCAGCACTCTGTATCTGTGCCTCTCTCTTGTTATGCTTAGTCCTCTACCTCAATCATTGTTTTTCCGTGTTATATTTTCTACAGACTTTAGGTTCCTTTATGACAAGAACTAATATGTTTCATTCAATACAGAGCTTTACATTTCATAAAATAGTACTTATTTGCATCTGAATGAATTATAAGGAATTCAGCGAGGGAAGGAGCTTACTTCAAAAGAGTTACAGGAAATAGATAACCTTTAAAAGTTGAATATAAGAAATAATTTATATATGATTTATTTTTAGTTATGAACTAGACTAATTGGAGAAGGAATTTAAAATTTTGAGTCCAGGTCTCTCTGATTATTTTTTTTTATTTAAGTATTGTAATATTCCAAAAGAATAGGTGTGCCCGTGTCTATCATTTCATTTTATTCATGAAAATTAGCTCCTTAAAAACTTTTGTATACCCTGTGTTACTGTTATCAAAAGTAATAAAGGTATCCCATGGCCTTTAAAAAAATACATTCTAAAACATTTAAAAATAAGATTTTAAAATATTCTACTTTTTGTATCTTAAGAATATTCTCATTTTGTATGGTTTCTTACTTTGATAAACTTACTATTTCCTCTTTTCTTTTCAGGTATATGTATTTTACCAATCTTCAGGAAAGGTCTCCCAAAATTGAACGGGCTGCTTTGGATGGAACAGAACGGGAGGTCCTCTTTTTTAGTGGCTTAAGTAAACCAGTTGCGTTAGCCCTTGATAGCAGATTGGGCAAACTCTTTTGGGCAGATTCCGATCTCCGGAGAATTGAAAGCAGTGATCTCTCAGGTAACCAAGAAATGTAATTCCTTATTTTATTAAAAAAATTTTTTTTGATGTTTTACTTATTTTTGAGAGAGACAGCTTGAGCAGGGGAGGGTCAGAGAGAGGGAGACACAGAATCCAAAACAGGCTCCAGGCCCTGAGCTAGCTGTCAGCACAGAGCCCCATGCGGAGCTTGAACCCACGAATCATGAGATCATGACCTGAGCCAAAGTCAGATGCTTAACCGACTGAGCCACCCAGACGCCGCTAGAATTGCTATTTAATGTGCTATGTATATATTCACCTTGAATAGATATATCCAGATTGCTCTTCAGAGTGATTATGTCAATTTAAAATACTCACCAGAGGTGTGTGAGTTGTCCCTTCAGTGTTTGGTATTGTTAGACTTCTAAATTTTTACTGTTGCAGCAGTTTAAAAGTATATCTCATTAATAAAATTTGCATTTCCCTGTCTGATATTAATTTATTGGTCATTCATTTTTCTGTGAATTGCTATTACTTTTTCACATTTTTTCAGAAATTTCACATTTTTTCTGTGAATTGCTATTGCCCGTTTTTCTACCACTGATTTTTAAAAACTCTTTATTCAGACTATTAATCCATTATCAAGTTACATATATATTGGAGGAGAATGGGCATATTAAAGAAATTCAGTCTTTTCATCCCTGTGATAGATCCCTCCATTTGTTTAGGTCTTGTTTGATAATTTTTAGTACATCTTTATACTTTCCTTTGTAGGGAAAGGTAATGTATTGCATAAATCTTCCAGTTTGTGATTTACCTTTTCAGTCTTCCAATGGTGTCCTTAGATGAAAAGGTTATTAATTTTAGTGCAGTACCGTTTACTAATTTTCCCCCTTATGATTAGTACGTTTTACATTCTATTTAAGAAGCCTTTGCCTACTGCCAAGTCACAGAGATATTTTGTGGGTTTTGTTCCTTAAAATTTTTTTGCTTAACTTTTCTCATTTAGATCCATTGGCAATTTATTTTTGTGCATGGGGTGAGGTAGGGGTTAAAATCTGCCCCCCACCCCCTGCATTACTATTTGACTTAACACCAGTTTTTGAGAAGACCATACTTTCTCCACCGTTTTCTAATGTCACCTTTGTTGTAAATGAAGTGACTGTATTTCTGTGAGTTTGTTTCTAATGTTCCCTTGGTCACTGTCTTACATGATATTTTATTGTCTTAATCATTATAATGTTATAACAAATTTATTTGGCAGTGTTCGTCCTTACTATTTCCTTAAGATGGCTAATTGCATTTTTTTTTTTTTTTTGCATTTCCAAATACATTCTAGAATTTGCTTCTGAGTTTCCACCAAAAATGAAAGAAACCTAGTACAATTTTGACTGGGGTTGCTTTGAATTTATAGGTCAATTTAGAGAGAATTATTTTTATAATATTTTCCAAATTATGAACATATCCCTCCATTTATTTAGAACTTTAATTTCCCTCAGTGTTTTATCATTTTCTTCATAGAGGTCTTTCCCATCTACACTGGAGTTATTCCTTGGTATTTGAAGCTTTTGAATGCTAGTAGTAAAGTGTGTTCTAAATTTTTGATATTTTATTCTCTGATTGTGGCTGGAATATAGACATGTTTTCCTTTTGTCTCCTATTCTGTTATATTGAGCTTGTTCCCACAGACCTTGTTAAATTCATATATGTGTGATTTCTTTAGGATTTTGTATGTCATAGAACCATTTGTCTACAAATAATGAAAGTTTAGTTTCTTCTTTTGCAATACTTTTTCCTTGTTACCGTAGGAACAAGGTCCTGGCTGACACCTCCAGGACAGTGTTGAATAGAACAATAGAATCCTTGTGTGTTTGTTTTGTTTTGTTATTCTCGATTTAGAGGAAGGCATTCAGTGCTTCATGATTAGCTATTATGTTTGCTGAGGTTTTCTGTAGATAATGTTTTTATCAGATTAAGAAAGTTCCTTTTGTTCCTAGTTTGCTGGAGTAAATCAAACTTGGAATGATAACATTTTCCTTTTTATATATTGCTGGATTTGATTTGCTAATGTTTTAAGGGTTTGTATCTGTTCACGAGAATGATTACCCTATAATTCTCCTTTCTTACAATGTACTTGTTGGCATTTTGCCATTTAGGTTATGTTGGCCTCATAAAATGTTTCCTCTTTTTCTGTTTTCTGAAAAAGGTTAGTGTAAAACTGGTAGTTTTATTTTTTCCTTCCTTGTATATTCACAGATAATCATACACTTTTATCTTGGGATCTCTTTCTGCTTCATATTTTGGGAAGACCACAGACACTTTTACACTGGGCTGCATTTAGTACATGCATAGTTTGTTGAATAAACAAGTATGTCTTTCCACTGTTGATTCCAGTATTTTACTTCTCCTTTTATCACTGCCATCAAAGGAGATCAGGACCTTCTCATGTCTGGGACTCTGCAGTGACACTGGTGACAGCTCTTTTTTTTCTCAGTGGTCCACTTGAGACCATCCTTACACAACTAATCCTTTTAATTCATTCTTCTTATTTTTATCTTAACCTCATCAAAGTAATACATGTAAATATTTGTGGAAATCAGATGCTTCTGTTTAGTTATAACAGAAAGTAAGTCTACCATTCTCCTGCCTACTCTCAGTTCCCGCTCTGAGGCATCTATTTTTAAATAACTTGCTTAAAACTGGTATTTCTCAGGTTTTCAGTTTTACACATCACAAGTTGACTTACAGGTGGAAGATAAAGATTTTGCTGCCTTAAACCATATAAGCCCAAAATACTCATATGAACTCTCCTCCTATCCTCCCAGGATAGTTACATCATAATTTTTAAGTTCATACTTAATTGTTATTTATGGCTGTGAAAATACTACCTTTAGCCATGTTGCCCTCTGTAGCTTTTTTTCCACTGAAGTTAATCTTGTCTAATGTAAATATTGATTCAGTGCATACAGATGGATCAAGCAGTCCATCTTTTTTCTCTTTAATTGAAAGCATACCTCTTGAATTTCTTTATCATCTTGCTCCAGTCTGGATTCGTTTGCTTTTTTAGGCCAACTTCTTTTCACTATTATCCTGGGAATGCACCTGCCATTCTCCTTAGTGCTGAACACTGTTTACTGGATTCCATTTCTCTGGCCAATTTCTTTTTCTTGGTAGATTGCATCCTCTATTACTTCTTGGAAGGGGTTCATAGGAGGTTAAAAATTTTCATTTATTTGTCTGAATTTTTTCCCCTCACATTTTGATTGATAATTTGGATATGTATAGAATTCATGTTTCATAACTATTTTTTATTTTTTTATTTTATTTTTATTTACTATTATTTTTTTTACAAATAGTTTATTGTCAAGTTGGTTTCCATGTAACACCCAGGGCTCATCCCCACAAGTGCCCTCCTCCATGCCCCCCTCCCCCCCACACCCATCAGTCCTCAGTTTGTTCTCAGCTGATTCAAGAGTCTCACATGGTTTGCCTTTCTCCCTCTCTCCCAGTATTTCCCCCCTTCTCCCCCACGGTCCTCAGTTAAGTTCCTCCTAATCCTCCTATACGTGCAAACATATGATATTTGTCCTTCTCTGCCTGACTTACTTCGCTCAGCATAACACCCTCAAGGTCCATCCATGTTGCTACACATGGCCAGATTTCATTCTTTCTCATTGCCATTTCATAACTATTTTTATCTCCCAGTTTTGAAGGCAGAACTCTGTTGTCCTCAGCCACCTCAGGTTGGGAAGTTTGATGTCGTTGTGATTCTCGATTATTTGTATTTGATCCTTCATTTTCCCCTCCAGAAACTTTTAACATCTTCTCATTTTCCTAAATGTTCTAGAACCTAATGATAACATGCCTTTGTGTGATCCCTCCCTGACTTCCTTCTTCTTTCTTTCATTGAACTGGTTACTAGGTGTTGTATCTGGAAATTTAACATCTTTTTGTTTGTTTGTTTGTTTGTTTTTGAGAGAGAGAGAGACAACGTGAGCAAGGGAGGGGCAGAGGGAGAAGGAGACATAGAATCTGAAGCAGGCTTCAGGTTCTAGGCTCTGAACTGAACTAGCCAGACATGGGGCTCGAACCCATGAACTGTGTGAGATCATGACCTGAGCCTAAATCGGACGCTTAACCAATTGAGCCACCCAGGCAGGTGCCCCTGGAAACTTACATCTTGAGTTCAAGTTTTCTTTTTTCTTTTATGTTGTTTCTTTAATGATTTGTTTTCTCATTCTGGAACTTTCACTCAGATGTTGAGAGTATTTTTTTTACTTTCCATCTCTTTTTCATTGTGTTCTCCTTTCTGAGTTTTTCAAATTTATCTTCAAACCCTCTTGTTGAATTTTTTTTTCCCAGCTTTCTTTTGTTCTGTGAATGCCTTGCCCCCATCAGAAGCATCCTGCTCTTCAGGGTTTTGTTGCTGTTGTTTTGTTTGTTTCTGCTTTATCCAGAGAAGTACGATTTTTATCTGTTTTATATGTTACAGCTTTTCATAAAATTTAATTTGAAACATAGAGTCTGCTTTTTAAAATATTTGAAAACTACCCTTAAGTTTTTGTCCATGTTTCTATGAACTGAGGTATTTACTATGTATTGGGTACTTCCTTGCTTTTGTTGGTACTTAAATGTCTAATCTGTTTTCTGGCATATATATATCTTCTGAGAGTAATTTTTACTTTTTGTGATAAAGAGCTAACTTACCATATTTTCCTTTTCAGTACTTTTAGAATCTAACTGAACTTCGATCAATAATTGTTGAATGTGTGACTTGACCCACATGAATGAATCATTGCTCTTGAATGTTCTCCTTCCAAGGTGCCAACCGGATAGTATTAGAAGACTCCAATATCTTGCAGCCCGTGGGACTGACTGTGTTTGAAAACTGGCTATATTGGATTGATAAGCAGCAGCAAATGATTGAAAAAATTGACATGACAGGTCGAGAGGGTAGAACCAAAGTCCAGGCTCGAATTGCCCAGCTTAGTGACATTCATGCAGTAAAGGAGCTGAACCTTCAGGAATATAGTAAGTGCTGATGACGTACTGCTAATTGCAGAATTCCTGTTTGTCGTAAGAGATTAAGATGTTGTTCTGTCCCTTCTTGCCTTTTTTTTTTTTTAATAACAGATATTTATGCACTTTTAATTTTGCTGATTTTTATACTCTTGTGTTTTTAAAACCTTACTTCAAACTCATCTGGGAACTTTTTCAAATTAAACATCTTTTCCCTATAAAACAACAGTGGGGAAAGAAATGGTCTTGCTCATTTTCAAAAACTGCCCCGGATACAGCACTCTCCCTGTCATGCCTCCTTTCTCACCTTAGCCCCATGAAGAGTATTGGTATAAAGTATGTATTTCTTTTGCCCTCACAGTTTGAATTAAAGCAAAAATTATATAATGATGAATATAGTTACCTTGGAATAACCTTTTTAATAAGCAAAAACAAAATAAACTAATAATTCGTGTTTTCAAAAGTTTCGAAATGAACTTACAGAAGACTACACCTAACAAGTGCTTGTTTGTTTTCCTCCCAGATAAATTTTTTAATTCTCAGCTTAGAAAAGTAACCATGATTTTTTTTTTTTTAAATCTTACTGGAAACTTTTTAATATGGCTCATTATCTTGCTCAGATTTCTTACTAATATCAAAAGACCCCTCATGGCAATCACTACTATGGGTTTTATGTGATCGTACCAGGAACCCTAGTGTTAAATGAAATATTAAAAAGAGAGCTATTGAAAATCCTTAACTTCTCAGCACAGTGCTTTCAAATCAAACTGGAGAATGAAAGGAGAAAAGAAGGAGAGCACCTTTGCTTGTTCATGTCTTCATTATGTTGTCACTGTTCCTGAACTTTAGAAGTTCAGGATATTTGAGAATTACAATTGTTGTCACTCTTAAGTTATGACATGTGACTCATTGCTGAAAACTTAATAGAAATAAGGCAGTAATTTCATGGTGCCTGGGAGGCTCAGTTGGCTGAGTGTCCCAACTTTGGCTCAGGTCATGATCTTACAGTTTGTGAGTTCAAGCCCTGCATCGGGCTCTCTGCTGTTAGGCCAGAGCCCACTTTGGATCTCCTGTCTCTCTCTCTTTGCATCTCCCCCCAACTCATCCTTTCTCTCAAAAATAAACTTTAGAAAAAGAAGGTAATAAATTCTAAGCTATTTATTCAGTTGATGAATGATTATTTTATTGTATAATATCTCCATGGAGGTTTTCAGAATTTTAGGGGGAATGTCTTTTTTTTAATAATTCAACACTTAAGTATGGTTTTATATTTGGAAGAACCTTTTTTTTTTTTTCTTTTTTCAAATTTCTAATAAGATTAAAGAGAGTGAGATTTTTATCAAAGCCTCGTGGAATAAAGTTTGTGCTATGTAGGTTGTGTATTCTACTATAGTATGGCTGATACCCGCTTGGAGACATCCATGGTAGAGCACATCTCATTTATAGATAGCTGGGTCCTTTAGTCACATCAGCCCATGCTGGCAACAGGGTGATGTGTTATTGAGAAGGCAGATAATAAGTGGGTGGCTATATTACATGTTGGTATTCTGATGACAGATGTCAAGTTTTAACACAGGCTAAGTAGAAAATTCAAAACAACTTCATTAAACATAATTTGTGAGGCAGACTTTGAAAAGTTGCTTAACTTTGTTTAATTTAACCCAAATATAAGGAAATTGAACATTTGTAACACTGCAAGTTACTTTTGCAGTTGATCAAATAGTTTTTGTTTTCTCTGAGTGGTTGCCATCCATGTGAACTTAAGTTTTTTCTTTAACGTAACAACTCAAATTTTCTGTATTTTATCATTTCTATATTTCATTAAAATAATAAGGTTTTTAAGTAAAATCATCTTTTATAAAGGTAGAATTTCTGAGTTAAAATCTTTAGAAGAGTTTTTATATTTTAAATAGAATATTATCCAGGTTTCTGCATTCTCCCCAAACTAAAACTAAAACATTGTTTTTAGTTTCAGTAATCAACTTTTTTTAGATAGGAGTATGTAAAGACAGTGGTTAGATAAAAGTATTTTGCATTTTAAAATTGCTCTCATTTTCTTGCATTTTTTTGTGGCGATTAGAGTAAGGAATTATATTTTTATGTATTATTATGTTTTTTAATGTTTTATTTATTTCTGAGAGAGAGAGACACACACAGCATGAGCAGGGGAGGGTCAGAGAGAGAGGGAGACACAGAATCTGAAGCAGGCTCCAGGCTCTGAGCTGTCAGCACAGAGCCCGATGCGGGGCTTGAACCCACAAACCATGAGATCATGACCTGAGCCGAAGTTGGACACTGTACCAACTGAGCCACCCAGGCGCCCCATATTATGTATTATTATTGCATATATATATATATTTTATATGTATTATAATTATATATAAATCCAAGGTAATTTCACATTTTGTTTTCATGGCAGTTCATAAATAATTGATATTGACTGGGCTATACTCCTTTCTTCCCTTCCTCCCTCCCTCAACTTTCCTTTTTCTCTCTCTCTCCCTCTCCTACTGTCCCTCCTGTTCCCTTTTTCTCTTTACTTTTCTCTTCTCTTTTTTTCAGGACAGCACCCTTGTGCTCAGGATAATGGTGGCTGTTCACATATTTGTCTTGTAAAAGGAGATGGTACTACCCGGTGCTCCTGCCCCATGCACTTGGTTCTGCTTCAGGATGAGCTATCATGTGGAGGTAAATACATTATTTTCTTGTACAAGTCCAAATGCCAGTTAACATGTTCCATAATTAGCATTCTGTCCTTTGGCAGTAAATTGCCCTTTCTCCTAACTTGATGAGTCATCTGTATTCCATTCATCTGCACTATGCTAGCCCTTTGGGTTATTCAGAGAGTGAATCCATCATGACAAGTAATAAATCTTGAGACTAAGGCAGAAGTGCCCTTATTGGGAGAAACTCATCTTGTGTATGAGTGTATTTCCCAATAATAAAGTAGCTTTTTTCACCCCAGAAAGTAACGAAATGAACTAATTCTAGCTCTTATATGCTCCATCTACTGAATTCTAGATTCTACCAGGTTTAGGTATCATTGCTGGGAATGTATCCAGTGAAAAGAATATTCTTTTATTCAGATCTATCAGTAGTTCCCTATTGTTTTTACTTATTTGCCTACCAAAAAAAATTTTTTTAAGGGATCACTATAATAACGGTGTAGTAAAAATGGTTCAATCACTCATGAGAGCATAACAAATTGGTACATTCCCTTGTCAAAGCATATTGTGGTAACATTAAATATCATAGTAATATTCACTCCCTTGATTCCGAAATAATCCTCTTGGGGATAATTCTAAATTAACTCAACTGAAAGAAAAAGACTATTCTTTCTCTACAGTGGCAGAAATGTGAAAGCAGTCTAATTTCTAAGGATAAGAAAATTAAGTAACTGAGTTTATATAGCTATTAAACATTTTGACAATAAGCTCAAATAAAAATGTAGCAAATTTGGCTCAAGTAGAAAAAAGAGTTAATGGTGTTTTCTGCTATGATAACAACTACTTAAATACACGTTTCTGTAAACAAAGATTGGTTTATACACTCAGAAAAATTGTTGATGAGATGGTATTATAAGAATATTTTATTCTTCTAACTTTACTTTTAAAAATAATTAACAGTGTATTTAGTAGCACCTGTGAGGCGCTCTGCCCTGCCTGCAAGAGATTTGAAGCTCTTTGAGATGGAGTGTATAGTTTAGTTGGGGAGATCAAATGTGTACACAGTACACTTTTACACAGTAAAAGTTAAGCTCTGGTACTTGAAATATCTTCCCCCCAGAATAACAAGTGTTACACAATAATGTGAATGTACTTACTGCCATTGAACCATATACTTTAAAATGGTTAAAATGGTAAACTTTGTTACATGTATTTTACCACAATAAAAAAAAATAGCAAGTGTTTCCATATCAAGGTGCTAGATTAGTAATACTCTAATAAGACAAATCTTAGAAATGCTTACCTTTATGTAATGATGACATAGGTAGAACTAAGTCAGAGATAACCATCTTCCATTTAGAAAATAAATGTCTTTTTAGGGGCGCCTGGGTGGCTCGGTTGGTTAAACGTCCGACTTTGGCTTGGGTCATGATCTCATGGTTCGTGAGTTCAAGCCCCGCCTCATGCTTTGTGGTGACAGCTTGGAGCCTGGAGCCTGCTTTGGATACTGTCTCCTTCTCTATCTGCCCCTTCCCTGCTCACACTCTGTCTCCCTCCCTCTCCTTCAAAAGTAAATAAACATTAAAAAAATTTTTTAAAGGAAATGTCTTTAAAAAGGCCTTTGATTTTTTTCTTCATATTAGTGATTATTTTCAATGTATGTATTTAAATTTTTTAAATGTTTGTATTACATTAATAGAGCATTTTAACAAATGGGTTACCAGCATTCAAGATATATCCAGTGTGTCATTAAGAAAAATACCCTGATGCCCTTTCCCAGCTGGCTCTCTTATAGAAGTAACCACTATTCTGATTTTTATACCCATAACTTAGCTTTATCTGTTCTTGTATTTTATATAAGGAATCATGATGTATGTATGCTTTTTGTATCTGATTCTCTTGGTTAATATTTTTGAGCTTCAGCCATATAGTGGAGTATATCAGTAGTTTTTTTCTTTTTTATTGCTTGGTGATGTTTCACTGTATAATATGCCAAAATATATTTATTCTCCTGTTGAGTGGCTTTTGATTGTTTTCATTTTTCTGTTCTTAAGAATAAAACTGTAGCCAGTGTTTGTATATAACATTTTTTTGTGGGGGTGCCTGGCTGGCTCGGTTGGTGTGATTCTTGATCTTAGAGTTGTGAGTTTAAGCCCCATGCTGCGTATAGGGATTACTTAAAATCTTATAAGAGTGTGTGTTATTTAACATTTATTATACACTGGAGGTAAATTCCTCTGCCTGACCCTAAGATGTGTTTTCATTTGTGCTGTCTTACCGATCCACCTCCTTCGGTATCTCACTTTATTTTTGTTCGGCTGCTTAGAGTTAATGATCACTGTTGTATGTTCTGTTCGGTTTTGCTTCTGTGAATTTACTTGTGGTGGTTCAGAGATGTGTTTCTCTTCTTGCATGCCATCCTAAATCTTATTTTTCAAGGAGCATCTTCTCATGATCTTTAAAACCTTCACCAGCCAGTATTGTTTCTCCATTCTCTGGATTGTAGCACTTGTTACTACAGTTTGCCTGACATACAGTTCAGAGTAATGTTTTGTTTCATATTCATTAGTCTCTTTCTTCCCAGCCCAGATTAAATTATAAGCTCTCTAAGGACATGGATCCTATTTACCTATTTTTATTCTCCACATGATCTAGTATAGTGCTGAATACATAATAGGCTCAAATTCCCTCTATAATTAATACTTCAAATTCCCCATGTAACATGTTCACCTGTAATTTGCAATATTCTCTACTTTAAAGTGTTTTGTTTGTTTGTTTATTTTGAGAGAGACAGAGACAGCATGAGTAGGTGAGAAACAGTAGAGGGGAGAGAGAGAATCCCAAGCAGGCTCTGAGCTGCCGGCACAGAGCCAGATGTGACGCTTAAACCCATGAAGCCGTGAGCTCATGACCTGAACCAAAACAAGAGTCAGACCCTTAACCGACTGAGCCACCGAGCTGCTGCCCCAGTATGCCCTACTTTAAAGATAAGAGGTTCTGATCCATAGTCATATTAATAAAGTTATGTTATGTAGAAAATTTACTAACAGGTTTTATCTATCTATCTATCTGTCTGTCTATCTATGTATCTTTAATGTTTTATTTATTTCTGTGTGAGAGAGAGAGTGTGAGCAGGGGAGGGTCAGAGAGAGAAGGAGATACAGAATCTGAAACAGCCTCCGGGCTCTGAGCTGTCAGCACAGAGCCCAACGCAGGGCTCGAACCCCCGAACTGTAGAATCATGACCTGAGCCGAAGTTGGACACTTAACCGACTGAGCCGCCCAGGCGCCCCAACAGACAAGTTTTTAAATGAAGTCCACAAAACTGCGATATAAAGGCAATGGGCTAAAACTAAAGAGGCTGTCCTTTTGGTCCAATCTTTTATTTTTAATTAACCCTTGTGTGTAGGAAGCACTATGACCTTGGGCAGCCACTTAGTCTCTCTGAGCCTCAGTTTCCTCATTTGCAAAATAAACAAATTGGGCTTGAATGGCAATTCTCAAAGTGGCATTAGCAACTTTTACATTCTTAAAAATCATCAAGGTCCTCAAACAGCTTTTGTTTGGGTTATGTTTATCTGTATTTACTGTAGTAGAATTTAAAATCAAGAACTTTAAAAAATATTTATTAAAAATAACAATAATAAACGCTTATGTTCTCAAGTTAAACTTGTTAAGAAAGTTTTAACTATCTTGGAGCCCCTGGGTGACTCAGTTGGGTAAGTGCCCAAGTCTTGATCTTGAGCAGTTTGTGCGTTCAAGCCCGGCATTGGGCTCTGCGCTGATGGTGTGGAGCCTGCTTAGGATTCTGTCTCTCCTCCTCTCTGCCCCTCGCCCGCTTGTGAGTGCTCTCTCTCTCTCTCAAGTAAATATTTAAAAATTATTTTAAAAAAGAAATAACAATATTTTTGGAAGCAAAATAATTTTAATGAAAGTGTGGCATTGTTTTTACATTTTGTATATCTCTTTAATGTTAGGCCAGATTCTCATGTCTACTTCTGCATTCAATCTGTTGTAATATGTAGTTTTGGTTGAAATATATGAGAAAATTTAGCCTCAAGTGTAGTTGGAAAACAGAGAACTATAATATTAGTCTTTTCAGATAATTATGCATATATCTTGAATTCTACACCAGATACTGACAAGTGGTAGTTTACTGCAGATTTAGTTGCAGTGTGGAATTGGAAACCATTATCTTCTCCGACTCTCTTAAATTAACCTCCACTGATCTGTTTTGTCCTCTCATTGGATATTTTACCCAGACCTGATTTTGTAACCTTACAGTGGTCATTTGGAAATACTAGAATTTCAACCGGAAATTCCCAGACCTTCACATTTTGATGAATTTCATTATACAATATAAAAAACCACATGTTTATATCACTACCAGTCTCATTAGAAAAACTTTTGGGACACCTGGGTGGCTCAGTCAGTTAAGTGTCTGACTTCAACTCAATCATGATCTCACAGTTTGTGGATTCAAGCCCTGCATCTGGCTCTCTGCTATCGGTGAGGAGTCCCCTTTGGATCCTCTGTCTGGTCTCTCTCTGCCCCTCCCTCATCCTCTCTCTTCTCTCTCCTTCTCAAAAATAAACATTAAAAAAAAACCAACCTTTTAAGTACTGGGAATCTGTCAAGCTTACCGTGTTAGATACAGATTCTCCAAAATTATAATTTCTGGTTGAAAGCTCCAGTGTTACATTATGCTTTAAAACTACAGTGTTCTGATTTGCCATGATTTTCCTTGAAGTAACAGGCTCACTGTTTCATTTTTTAAAAACTTCCTACCAAATACCCAAGTACAAATAACTGTAAGTTTGTTAGTTCTTTTAAATTAAAATTAAAATGGTGTTACATTTTGGGTTGAGTTTACAACTCAAAGTGCTTTCCCTGGAGAAATCCTCATACTTAGGTATGCAACGTGAGCTCTATTCATACTTTGCATTTTATCAAACACTATGAGGAGACAGCATGTTTTCAAAGAGTTGACTTTAATACAGTTAATATCTTTACGGAGTCATTAAGAACATTTAAAAATAAAACTGGCTTTTTTTAACTGTGAGTGTGTGGCTGTGTAGACTGTAATGCCTACTAGTACAGTTTGATCCCACTCCCTTGAATTTGCTAAGGTTCCAAGACTTTTATCCACCATTCCTTTTGTAACATCAGTGCAAATACAGTGAGAAAGGCAACTGGCATCTCAGTATTATTGTAAACGCTTTTGACCTTGTAGATCCCCTCCCCAGGAGTTCCTGGACCACTCTGAAAGTCTCAGCACTAGAAAACTTATGAATTTGAGCCTAACTTAAAATATTTGGAGGTTGGTAATTATAGTGATTATCCCTAAATTATGTGTGAGATTATAATGGACTGCAAATAATCCTACTTGAATTATAATATATGAGAATACTTCTGCCTTATAGTTTTGTAAGTTCGTGAATCTAAACATTATAGTGTAAAAATTGTATTTCTTCTCTGATTGATGGGATAGTTTACAAACTTTATATGTTAAAAAGTGTTTTGCATATGTTAATATTAAATGAGCTTCACTCAGGTGTGTTTGTACCTTTGTGTGACTATTATGTTTTTGTCACTCCCCTCCCCCTTGGTCATTTGAAGAGCCCCCAACATGTTCTCCTCAGCAGTTTACTTGTTTCACGGGAGAAATTGACTGTATCCCTGTGGCTTGGCGGTGTGATGGGTTTACTGAGTGTGAAGACCACAGTGACGAGCTCAACTGCCCCGTGTGCTCCGAGTCCCAGTTCCAGTGTGCCAGTGGGCAGTGTATCGATGGTGCCCTCCGATGCAACGGAGATGCAAACTGCCAGGATAAGTCCGACGAGAAGAACTGTGAAGGTATCGAGACGTCGTAGGGCCTGGCTGCCTTTTTTTCCCATTAATGTTCAGTTGTTTGAAATTCAGAGTATTGCTTTGGCTCAGTGGTAAATTTGGGTTTTATTTCAGGTACATTTGGCTTGATTATGTTGAAGTCTGGTAGCCTCTTCCAGATTATTGTTTTAATTCACTTAACATGCAAAAGGTACTACACTTTAGTAAGCTTTGCACACTGAGAAGTGAGGTCCAAAGATTAGACCTTCAGTATGTAAAGATAGTCCTTGTTTCCAGTGGACCCTAAAGTAGTGGATTAATTTATTATAATATAAAATAATTTCACACTTTCCTCTTTGCACCACTAACCTTTAACGTGGTAAAAACAAGCAAATAAATGCTCTAGATTTTTTTTAGTGTCTAGAAATTCATGTAGAAAAAATTCTTTAATTCCTAACAGAATTATTAATGAAAGATGCAATTTAATGTAGAGAACAAAATAGGAAATTTCCTGCAGGATTTCTTTTTCCACTTTTTTCTCTCTACCAATGGAAATCTCCAGAGAATAATTTTTAAGTTATATTTTAAAGTCTAATTGGTTTTTCATTTGTGCCCAGAAAGTGACTTTTGACTCTTGCCAGAGTTTCTCTTTACATGATAGTCAAAATAAGAAAACTGTTTGCATTTTTTTCCCAGTGCTTTGTTTAATTGACCAGTTCCGCTGTTCCAATGGTCAGTGCATTGGAAAACATAAGAAATGTGATCATAATGTGGATTGCAGTGACAAATCAGATGAACTGGATTGTTGTAAGTAGGACTAAAACCTTACATATTACTCTTCTGGGAGAATTTTTAAAATACTTTTTCCTTTTCTCTTTGGATGGGTTTCACTTACAATTAGTATTTCCTTATTAAGAAATAAGCATTAATGTTAAGCTAGTTACTTGTACCAGGATTTTTTATGCTTTGCTTTTAATAATTCCTTAAAGACCGTGGTTTTCTTATGCACAGAAATCTTCACAGAAACATTTAGGAAAGCACCAAAGAAGAATAAATATTATTTTGCCACAACGAGAGTTAGGAAATTCTCAGATGATTTAGATATGTAGAAACCCATTAGTGGCATAAGCTTGAGAGTTTCTAAACGTTAGCCCATGTTTATCATCTCTCATTTTTTTTCTGGACACATTTCCACCAGTTTCTCAGTGACCTTATTTTTTAAAAAATTTTTTTACATTTATTTATTTTTGAGAGAGTAAGACAGAGCATGAGCAGGGGAGGGGCAGAGAGAGAAGGAGACACAGAATCTGAAAAAGGCTCCAGGCTCTGAGCAAGCATTCAGCACAGAGCCCGACGCGGGGCTCGAACCCACAAACTGCGAGATCATGACCTGAGCCAAAGTTGGACTGAGCAACCCAGGCACCCCTCTCAGTGTCTTTAATGGCTTCCTTAAAGTGCAGCCTGAGGACACTTAGGCCAGCTTATACCCCTTAGGCCTGAAGACTCTAGGAAACATAACCCATAGTTTCTTCAGGGTTCATAACTATTGACCAGTGCCCTGACATAAAATATGTCCCAAATTGGTAAACTTAGTTCTGAATGGAATTCAGCATAAATCAGGTCTACCCTGTCAGACTGATTTAATGAAATTTAAATAAAATTCATTTTAAAACTCTATAGTCACTCTTTACTGAGCCTGGGTGGCTTAGTTGGTTATAAGCATCCAACTCTTAATCTCAGCTCAGGTCATGATTTCACAGTTTAATGAGTTCAAGTCCCATGTCGGGCTTTCTGCTGGCAACACAGAGCCTGCTTGGGATTCTTTCTCTCTTCCCTCTGTCCCTCCCCTGCTCTCTCTCCCTCTCTCTCAAACTAAACATTTAAAAAAAAACTTCTTTATTCATAATGAAGACTTTAAGCTGGTATTTTTAAATAATTCAAGTGGGATTCTTACTAAAGACTTTGAGAGCCTATTCATTTATTCAACAGACTTTTACTTTTACCTGCTGTATGCTGAGGGTTCATGGTTCCTGTACCAGGTATCTCGAAGTCCTCTATGGTTTGGAGGTTGTAGTAAGAATAGTGATTTTATTTATTTATTATTTTTTTTTTTTGAGCTTATTTATTTTGAGAGAGACAGAGACAGCATGAGTGGGGGAGAAGTAGAGAAGAAGGGAGAGAGCGAGACTCCCAAGCAGGCTCTGTGCCACCACCGTAGAGCCTAGTGCAGGGCCTGAACTCATGAAACCGTGAGATTGTGACCTGAGCTAAAGCCAAGAGTTGGACCCTTAACTGAGCCACCCAGGTACCCCAAGAATAGTGATTTTAAAGCCAGGTAGAGATGGATTTGAAATCTGGTCCCACCTCTTACCAGCAAATTATTTGTTGTTAAACTTTAGTTTCTTTATCTTTAAAAATCAAGATAATATTTATTTAGCCTGGTGGTTGTGAGAAAATTAATATATAGCTTGGCTCATAGTAGATACTGTTGGTAAAGGAGTGTGGTAAGTGATACTAAATCTGCTATTGTAGAGATCTGTACAAATAGTAGCACAAAACAGAGAGTGGTCAGATCTTCAGGAATAAAGATGGGGTTCATCAAGGAAGACCTCTTAGAAAAATGGTGCTTAAGATTGGGTGTTGATCAGTGAACAGTGTTAATTGTAAAGATAAGTGGAGAGACTGTATTCCAAGCAGAGAGAATATGCTATTCAGAAGCACAGTGAAATAGGCACCTCTGGGAAACCACATATAAATGGAATGCCAAAATGTAAGCTATGTCTTGAGGAGGGGTGTCAGCAAAAGAACATAAGTAAAGGTGAGATCATAGAAGACTTTACTTCTCTTCTAAAGAGCCTAGACAGTATCCAGAATAACGGAGAGCAATTGTCCAGCCTAAGGGAAGGACCTGCATGACTGTGTAATTGTGAAAGCTGTAAAAGCAGACGCATTGCCATTATAAGATTAGAGGCAGGTAATGATAAATTGGTTGCTTTCACACTTTTTTGGTCTCCTCAAGAGGAGTACAAAGATGGGGGTGCACACATAAACAAAAGTCATACTATAGTATCTACCTATATTATGTAGAACGTCTTCTGAAGTTTTCTGTTTTAAAATGCTTGTTGCAACCCACTAAATCTTTTTCACCATCTGATTACTTGGAGCCTGTAATTTAAATATTCTTAGGAGGCAATTGTAGTTCAGGCAGAAGATGGTTATCAAAATCAAGAGGAGCAGAGGTGGTGGAAAGGAGGGGATAGATTTCAGATTTATCTCAGAAATAAGAGTAAAAAGCATTTTGTAACCACTTGGATGTAGTTGATAAGTTTAGGTGAACTCACAGGTATCTCATTATCTCATTGAGTGACTGGAGTCTTTAACTAGAATATATAGCAGGGACTGAAAATTGAAGGACCATTCCATATCTTGTCTCAGATGCAATGTTTGCCTGATACAGGTTTTTTATTAATTTTTAAAATTTAATTTAAATGCCTTTGATTTGCCACAGGTGCCAGCATTTATTTATGATCTGCTTTACCCCTAGAACCTAGGAAACATGTCAAATATTGGCAAAGATGATTGCAGTGTAGATAGGTTGCTTCAAAGTTGCTGATGAGAGACCCCATTGAAGCTCTTCAGGAAGTTGTTGTTGATTGTACGGGTCTGTAGCTCAGGAGAGAGATTTGGCCTCTACTATTAAAGATAATTAAAGTGGGGGGCACCTAGGTGGCTCAGTCAGTTAAGCATCCAACTTCGGCTCAGGTCATGATCTCGTGGTTCTGGGTTCGAGCCCCGCGTCGGGCTCTGTGCTAACAGCTCAGAGCCTGGGGCCTGCTTCAGATTCTGTGTCTCCCTCTCTCTCTACCCCTCCTGTTCATCTCGGTCTCTCTCTGACTCTCAAAAATGAATAAATGTTAAAAAAAAAAAAAAGAAGATAAAGCTGAAGCAGTGGATGAAGTCTCTCAGGGAGAGTTACGTAGAGGAGGAAAATAGTAGAAGATAGAAGGACTCTGGAGAGCACCTAAGAGACAGTAAAGTTAAGAGAGTGGTATCTTGGAAGAATACTGTTGAGACCTATTTGAGAAGAAAACAAGAGCCAGCAGTACTGAATGTTTAGAGAGGTCACTAAGATGAAGAGTTAGTGAAAATGGCAAATAGGAGAACTGTGACTTTTGCCAGACTAGTTTCTCTGTGGCGGTAAAGATAGGAGATTTGATTTCTGTGAGTTAGGATGTGACCCAGAGTCTAAGAATTGGACATCGTGAAGATGAACTGTTGTGTCTGGAAGCTTGGCATTAGCAAGCAGTGCCCGTGCACTGGAAAGGAGTAAGATACATGGCTGCCCACAGGATTAGGAACATCTGTACCCGAGAGTCCACAACAAAAGATGTAACTGGCAGCCCATGCATAATTTGTAATTTAATGATACCATTTTCTTTCATTTCTTTGATTTACTCCCTTAGAGGCTGAATTTAGCTATGTGGGTGGGAGATGAAGGTAAAATGAAGCAGCAGGAAGGTGTTTTAAAGATCTACAGTTGCGAGATACAGTCTGACTACTCAGAATGGAAGGATTTTCCTTCTCAATAGAAGAGTAACACTCTAAATATGCTGAGGCCTTTTGCTTTTTCTCTTTACCTGTAATATTGATGCCACCTGCTTCTGCAGCCTCAGATAGCTCAGGGATCTGGTGAAGGTGAATGCCATGGGCAGGGTCTTCCTCTGGTTCTCTCATGCTCTGGCTTTTCTAAGTCCTCATGCACTCAGGTACCAGAGTCCTTATGTTTCTTGCCCTCAGGCAACAGGACTTACCCTGAAGGCACCAGCGTATTGGGCCTGAGAGCTAATGCTGGTCTTTAGCTTCTAGTCTCCCTTCACCAGGCCTGTATGTCACTTTTCAAACCTAAAATCAAGCTCAGTGCTGCTGTTGGCTTCTTCATTATTCCAGGTAAAACATTCGATTGACTTTGTTAGGTATATCCCTTTTGGCCCTAAAATTTTCTCTGAAATTCCAAAATAACCATGTTATTTTATGATATACAAAATAAAGTAGTAGGATGGGGCGCCTGGATGGCTCACTTGGAGGGGCGTGTGACTCTTGATCTCAGGGTTGGGAGTTTGAGCCCCATGTTGGGTGTAGAGATTATTTTTTAAAATTAATAATTTAATTTAATTTAAAAATAAAGTAGGATGAATTTTAACTGTCTCTGTATTTATAGCTTAAGAATTAAGTATGATTCATTTACATCTTTGTTTTTATCAGTTTACAGATCTACTTCTCAGTGTATTATTTTATTTCTGTCTTCACTTAAGGATGGTTCATTTTGATTTTGAGTGGTATTTATATACCCATAAAGCATGGTGTACATATGTTCATAATAACTATTCTGAGTCTGCAGTTGTTTCTCCATTTTATAACTGGACTGCATTCTCATTTTAGATCCAACTGAGGAACCAGCTCCACAGGCCACCAATACAGTTGGCTCAGTTATTGGAGTAATTGTCACCATTTTTGTGTCTGGAACCATATACTTCATCTGCCAGAGAATGTTGTGTCCACGTATGAAGGGAGATGGGGAAACCATGACTAATGACTATGTCGTTCATGGACCAGCTTCTGTGCCTCTTGGTTATGTGCCACACCCAAGTTCTTTGTCAGGATCTCTTCCAGGTGAGCTAAGACTGATGGACTGAGAGTCAAGTCTTGGGTCCTGGCAAGATTCCCAAGTTTCCTTTATAGTAAAGGGATACTGCCTAGAGTCGGTTTCAAACTAGACTCCTTTGGGTTTAAAAAATTATAAGAACAAATATTTTCTTTTACTTTTAGCACTGTCTCTCTGTACAGAAGATCTTAGATCTTAGTAGAAATTGTCCAAAAAATATAAAGCAAATACATATACACGCATTTATATGTACTGACTGCATTTACTACATGTACTACATATACTGCATTTCTGCATGTACTCTACTGAAAGTGAAAAGCTAGACATTTGGTAAAGAGTCATAAACCATAGTTCCTTTAGGTGCACTATCAAGGGACCTCAGTGCTACTGAGGCCAGGAATTGAAGGTGCAAAAAAACAGATTAAGATTACTTTTCAGCAAACAAAGATTTGGAAATAGCTGGGTTGATAGCAGGGAGGGTTATATTATGTTATGGGGTTTGTTTTGGCATAGCCAAGTAGCCAGAAATTCTACGTACTTGAGTAGACTGTATTGCTCTAGAGAAGTACAGCTTTCTTTTCCGTGCTTTCTGGTGCCCATAGTGAAAGTAAGCCCTCCCCGCCCCTTTTTTTAAATGAATATGGAGAAGGAAGTATCAGGCAAAAGCTCTCAGAAAATAAGAACTTATTCTGGGTATAACTCTAAGTAAACAGATAGGATTTGAAACTGTTAATGATCATGATTCCTTGTTTTGCTGTACCTGTTTTCAGTTACTGGAGTGTGGGAAGTCACTTGGGAAAAATAGAATTTCTTCATTAGCATTGGTGGCTGTGATTCCAACAACATTTGCGTACATTAGATGAAAAAGTAATCTCCCATACTTTGTATTCATGCCCTTAAAAGTGGATTTAGTTTCCTTTTGAGTAAAACTATTGTTTAATCTGCTCTGCTTCACAACCTCCACTCTCCGTAGGCCTTTTCTTCCACAAATCCTCGAAGGTTGAAAACTTCTTATTTTGAAGAGCTCTGTTTCTATCCTTGTGGGGAAAGGATGGGAGCTATTGTTGGCCTTGTTGTAGACCGGCTCTCAGTGGACGTGTTCACTTCTAGAGAACATTCGTTTCCCTTCCCCACTGAGTATTTCCAATTACTTTAGGAAAAGAGAGCACAGATTGTTTTAAAATCAGACCATTTGTATTTGTAATTTGTAATTGTATTTGTAATCCTACTATTAAATAAAAATATTTTATGCATAGAAATAATTTGTATAGATCTTAATCATCTTCAGTATTTATCCTCCTTCATTTTAGGAATGTCTCGAGGTAAATCAATGATCAGCTCCCTCAGTATCATGGGGGGAAGCAGTGGACCCCCTTATGACCGAGCTCATGTCACAGGAGCATCATCGAGTAGTTCTTCAAGCACCAAAGGCACTTACTTCCCTGCAGTAAGCAGTCTGTTTTCCTTCGTTTCACTTTGAATGCTGAGATAAATAGGATCCTAGATTTTTAACTTCCTTAAATGCAGGTGCTCAGTGATGGGAACCTAAAAAGGTGTTTGGTGTACAATTTAGGCACATAGGCTCGTAGGAAGGGTTTGCTACCACCATGCCAACACTTCTAAGTCTTTAAGTTGACTGTGTAGTAACCAGCATATTTGAAAGCACTAGACAGTAATTTTATATTTTGGGTAAAAGTAGAACTACTGAATTGTATCTCCTGACAGGCTTAGGACGACCTTCATTCTATGACCTCCCAAAAAGGAAGCACACATGTTATTTCTCCTAAGTCAGTAATTTTTCTCTAAACATTTATAATTTTAAAAAATCAGAGCTTGTTGTGCTGAACTTAAACCAGTGACTTACAGTATAGATTTTCTGCTTATCACCTTGCACCGTTTAGCCGTGATGAAATTGTGTCTTAGGGAGTGAAGAGCCCCACTCCTGAAGCATTGTTTGAGGTCAGTTCTTAGAAAGATTGTGCTAACGTATAATGGAAAGGAATACAGATGAAGGAGGAGACTGTAAAGAAAGTCTAATGGTCTTTATCTGGCATAGACTATTGTTATTTTAATAATTTAATTATTTTTCTAATTAGATTTTGAACCCTCCGCCATCCCCAGCCACAGAGCGATCACATTACACTATGGAATTTGGTTATTCTTCAAATAGTCCTTCCACTCATAGGTCCTACAGGTAAGATACGTGGAAGTATTTATTAGAAGAAAGAAGTAGTGGGTTTGATGTGGCCCTGCATAAACAGATGATGGTCACTGAGAGAGACTAGGCATCTTGCCTTCATAATGCTGATGTCCCTACTGCACATCCTCTTCTTTCGGGCATTATACATTTTTTTAAAGAGAGTCACAAATGCTGACTTTTAAAGTAGTAAAGTAGAGTCAGCCCCCAGTGCTTTGGCAGTAGTCTCAGGAAAAGTTACCCACCAAAATAACTGATTTCAAAATGGGTTACAGGTCAGGTTAGGTTTGATTGGTGGCCTGGGAATGGAATATTGGCATAGGACTGGGGTTCAGAGAGTTGTGAGAGCTGTGAAATAGCAGGGGTGCCAGGAGCACAGAATTTGAGAGAAGTTGAGAGAAGCTTAAGTTCAGCCCTTGCTTCACATACTTTATTACCATCTGGAATGAAAAATTCCTCATAAAGTTGCCTGGAATAAATCATAACTCACTAAAATAAATGAAATCTATTTGCAAGACACAAGGGTTGGAAAATGTTGCCCTTGTGCTGATGTGAGTCCATAGAGCGTGTTGAGCAGGAGGGCGGGTGTCTGTGCCCTTACTCTTCCAGCTTCCAGGGGCCGCCAGGAGCCAGCAGCGGGGGCCCTGTGACCCTAGGGCTGTGTTTATCGTGTCCCTCAGGCGCCTGTTATCTTCTCCATAAGGGGTTTCCTAGGCTTCCAGTCAAATTGCCCTGATAAGACCATACAGTTAGATAGAAATCAGGTGAAACTGTTGACACTAGTTACTCAGAATTCCCATTTCAGTTTATACATAAGGCTAAGACAGGCTCAATTCCAAACTGATGTTTTATTGTAAATTGCTTTCCTTGCCACTAGTTTGTTCTAAAAAGCCAAAAGAGAAAGCAGAAACCTCAAAACTGAAAAGACAAAATGAAAGACCCCCAAATTTTTATTTTTAATTTCTTTAAATTGAATAAAACATTGTTTCATTAAAATGAACATAATTACATCAAAAACATTTCTTATATGACCATTTCCCACGTCTCAAGTTCAGTTTCTTTCTTCTGAGCCACACTTTCACGTTTGTTGAGATTCTTGTCTAAACTGGAATGTAAAAGAATTTTGTTGATTTGAAATTTTGTTGATCTGATTTACTTTTTCCCCTAGATTTTAATTATTTGTTTATTTTACATGAAAATGGAAATGTTGGGCCCTTTAAATGTTGAGCCGCGAAATTTCATCAAAGCTCAAACCTGGTTGGACAGAAAGCTAAAACGGAAAAAGTGCTAGTAGCCTCCTGTCAATATTGGCGGGAAAACCGCTTGAGAACCTGCTCAGCAAGTCGTGTGACTTGTGGCCCTTCGGTGCCCATTTGTTTTGAGGCAAAAGCCTGGGTCCCGGCGGATAGTTTCCATGTCTGGATGGAATCTTATGGCCCACTTGTAGCACTAGGTGTTTTGTGGGTTGTTACCTCAGCTTTACATGTGCTCTTGCCCCTCTTTGTCACTTTGGTGACAGTATATGAAGAAGCCTTGATTGGGACAAATATGAAACAAGACCAGCTCTACTCTATCTAGAATATAAACACTGTATGAAATTACAGATAGAGGTGGAAATGATAGAAAAGCTAGCACTTTGAAGTTAGCTCTTCCTTTCACCAGTGTGTTCGTCTCTTTTCAATGCCTTTTTTATTAGTTAGCCATGCTGCAAACTCGATGAACTTGAAAAGGTAGAACAACAAGAAATAAATTAGATCTCTGAAATACACATTAGAAATTACACTGGTCCTATGTGCATATTTAGAATTTATCATTTTGTTGTTGAGACAGTGTGCTTATCTGTACATAGGGGATTGAAACTCTTTCCCCCAAACCACAGCACTTCCCCTTTGCTGATAGTAACAGTAATGGGATAGATATGCCCCTTGGGCCGTCTACCAGAGTTCAGCCTGGCTTGCACAATATTTGAGTTTTAAAGAGGGAATGAAGTCATCAGACATCATTAAATTATTCGTCAGGCAAATTATGTAGAGCAATTAAGGACTGTTGAAGGAATCCTGACATGTTGGAGTGTAGTGTAACATATGTAGGGGCCCGTTCTGCTCACAGACTGCGGCACAGCAGGAGCTGGTGAGGTCCGTCCACTGTGTGGGCTAAATGCAAACTAGAGAACAGAGTATCCAGTGATGATCATTAAGTATAGCTTTGAATATATTCTGTCATACGATTTAACTTAAAGATGTAAGAACACATGCAGAGGCTAGCTTGAGTTTACCTCTGCCTTCCCACCCTATCCATTTTTAAATGGCCCTACTACCATTTTATTTGCTGATAGGAAATATATACTATCTTCTTTCTTTAATTTGCCATTGAAAATTGCCTCCTGGTCTGTACAAATTTAAATTGTAGTAGCGTATTGGGGCGCGTGGGTGGCCCAGTCGTTTAAAGGTCTGACTTCGGTTTGGGTCATGATCTCACAGTTCGTGGGTTCGAGCCCCGCATCGGACTCTGTGCTGACAGCGCAGAGCCTGGAGCCTGCTGTGAGTTCTGTGTCTCCCTCTCTGTCTCTCTCCCCTTCTGTCGCTCATGCTCTGTCTCTGTCTCTCAAAAATAAATACGTGTTAAAAAAATTTTTAAATTATAGTAGCATATTATCTTCTCAGTGAAGTTTACATCTAATATTTCTATATTCTGATAGGGAAGAAACTGCTTTTCTATAAAACTAAATATCTGCTTCTTTTGGTTTTCTTCCTCTACCAGCTACAGGCCATATAGCTACCGGCACTTTGCACCCCCTACCACACCCTGCAGCACAGATGTCTGTGACAGTGACTATGCTCCCAGCCGGAGAATGACCTCCGTGGCAACGGCCAAGGGCTACACTAGTGACTTGAACTATGACTCAGAGCCTGTGCCCCCGCCTCCCACCCCCCGAAGCCAGTACTTGTCAGCAGAAGAGAACTATGAAAGCTGCCCACCCTCTCCATACACAGAGAGGAGCTACTCTCATCACCTCTACCCTCCGCCCCCCTCCCCCTGCACAGACTCCTCCTGAGGAGGGGCCCTCCTCCTCTGACTGCCTCCAACGCAAAAATGTAAATACAAATCTGGTTGAGATCTGGAGGGGGGGAGGGAGCTACTAGAGAAAGATGAGGCAGACCATGTACAGTTAAAAATTATAAATGGGGTAGGGAATACTGGAGATATTTGTACAGAAGAAAAGGATATTTATATATTTTCTTAAAACAGCAGATTTGCTGCTTGTGCCATAAAAATTTGTATAAAAAATAAATTTGTACTAAAAGTTTTATTTTTGCAAACTAAATACACTAAGCATGCCTTAAACCCAGTGAAGTGACTGAGTACAAAGGAAACAGGAATATTAAAGGCATCACTGACCAGGAATGTCTGGGATTTATTATACCAAAAATAAAGAGAGAGAAAAAGAGAAGAAGAAGAAGAAAAATTTAAGTCCATCTCAGAGCAGCAAACCATAGATACTTGGAAGTAGCCAAATAGCCTTCATGTTAACTAACATTTGAGGGCCAGTAAGTTTAGGAAATCACAAAAGGAAAAAAAGTATTAAAACTAACTTTGGACAAAGGGCTTTATTTTCTCTAGGAGTCCAATTATTTTAGTGAGGAAAATAGGTCTTTATAAAAATCCCTTGTGAGCATTGCTGTTGTAGGAGATGAGCTGTCCGGTAAGCCGGTGTGGGGCTCTGTGTGTGCAAGTCTTCTGTCTCTACCTTAGCTCACGGCCTCTGTCAGAAGAATTCATTTTTTTCTCTGGGTGTTTTTACCTTGCTTCCTCCCCAAGCAGCTCTGTAGGCCATTTTGCCAAGATATCACAATTTATTTGAAGAAGCTTTTTACCTGAAGATTGATAAAATGGAATTTTCTAAATTAAGGTTTCATTTTAATATTTCTACTAGCTCTGTTCCTCTGTAGGCTTAGCTCTTCAATTTGACTGCTGTTTTTGCATAATGATCAAAGGTTAGACATATTACTGCTCCTCTTCCAAGATTGTTTTAATGCTCATTAAAATATATTTTTACAACACATAGGCAATGTTTAAGAATTACAAATTTAACCATTATGTTTTGTTGTAAATTAATCATATATCCTTGCAGTACTTTCAGCATATAATACCACAATATGAAATCATTTATATATATATATATATATTTTTTTTTTTTCCTAGTAACACATTTAAATATGTTCTGGTTAGAGACAATCTATTTAAAAAGAGAATTTTTTGGTTATCATTAGGTTTTCCCTTTATTAACTGTTTGTGACATTTTCATGTTCTTTAGGCCAATTTTTCTGAGTGATGTCTACATATGTACCTCTTTTAATGTGTGACGTGACTTTAATATCTTCCTGTTACCCAATGTGAATGTTAGATTGTTTTCAAATTATCCACAAATTATTCTTATAATCACCTCTTTATATATTTTTGTGTGTTCTCTCTTATCCTGTTATGGATTAAGATGATTTAACACATTTAACAATAGGGATTGAATGAGAAGGCCAGCCATTCACTTCTCAGCTGTCAGAATTCAGGTGGAGGGGAGTAATGGAAGGCTCTTAGTCGTCGGCTGACCTGCGTGGCTCCGGTGCTGCTGACGTGTGGGATGATTCTAGCACTGCTCTGCCGCCTTGCCAGGAGTTAGTTTCCTGCTTTTTACATGTTTCCAGCACTTCTCTGCTAAAACAGAATGTGTTTTTAAACTAATATATTTTTACCTTAACAGATGTTGGTCAGTCAGTTATTTGAATGATTTCGTTTTTTTTTAATTCTGTCTTGCTGAGGCCTCTCTGGATTTCAGGGCCCAGGAGAAAAACCATGGAAGAAAAGATTCAGAATTTTGGCAGGGGTGAGGTAACGTTTTAAGCAATTAAAAATACCTAAGGAAGCTTTTTGAAGAGAAAAAAGTAGTGGTTTCAGAATAATGCTTAGATTGTGGAGGGCACCTTCTGTGAATCAAGTGCCCTTGATTTTGCGTATAAATAACTGGTGATCCATCAGCGTTCTGCATTAACTCTTCCTGTCGGTGGAACAAAGTGCTCACAGTCTAACAGAATGGATACTTGGAGTTGCATTCTGTGACACGGGGGCCTCTGACGCCTAAATGAAGATGGAAAGGTTAGCAATAACACGGGGGCCTCTGACGCCTAAATGAAGATGGAAAGGTTAGCAATAACTGGGTATCAATTAGAATTTGAGAATTCTATATGTTTACATTTTTTAATGTGCATCTTTATCTGGTGGGCTTCCCATGTGGAAACTTGCACTATAACGAATTAAGAAGAATATTGCCTTGTTATATCTCAGTCCAAGTGCTTGTACTGCGATGGCAATGGCCTCTTCTTGCAAAATACTGATTTGTGTGCCAATTTGTTTGAAATTATTTGAAGGCAGTTCCGCTTAATCTCAGAGTCCTCTTTCTTGGTAGTTGAGATGGATTCTTAATATTTGAGGGGGGGGGTACTTTTAAATGAGAGAATTGTCAAAAATCAGGGAAAGATTGGCCCTCAGGCTACATGGACAGTTAAGCTTAAGTGTCTTGATTATTGAACACAAGAGGTTTAATTGGGAAAACTGAAGATAAAAAGGAAACATTGACATTTGCTGCCACCCTTCTATAGTAGCATACATGAGAAGTCTACGTAACAGAAAATTCGTTATTTTAGTTTTCTAATTTTAATATAACAATACTCTGAGATATACCATCAAGTAGTATCTGATGCTTGAGAACATCTATTCTAAAGGGATGATATATATTTAGAAATGAAGACTTTACAGTACATTTTCATCCAACAGGCCAATAATTTGGGGGGCAGAGCTTTTGAGTAGAATTTTAGCCTGACTGAGGATTATACATTTGTTCATTTTAAAACACCCTAAAGTCATTAATTTGTATAAGGCCAACTCAATTTTGATAATATATAAAAATATGTACCATCTGTGTTAGGTAGCAATTTGTTTGGGGGTAAAATCTTTTTGTTTTGCCATAAAGGCCTGTTGATGAAGACTACTTCAGGTAGAGTTAGTAGCTATGGCTTACCTAGGCTGTTAAGTGCTTCTGTGTGTGTTTATGTAGCCTGATACCAGTCATCTTAGTGTTGACTACTTCTGGTACCAGAGAGGCTTACCTTGGGCAGGTTGGCTCCTCTGTGATAGTTGTGCTAGAGTAGTCAGCCATGTGCCTCGATTGGATTCCTAGGAATGGAGTTTTTAAAATTGTTTTTTCTCCTGCGGTGGGGGAAACTTGCCACTTCATTGATTTGCATGTTGTAAGAACTTCGTATTGGTTACCATTACACATCTGACAAAATTCAGTAGCAAAAATCTTGGGCCTTACATACCCCACATATACCGTCCTTTTAATCAGCTGTAAGTCTGTATAATGACATAACGTAGTCTGTTTGGGGTGTGGATTTGAGCAGGTGAATATCAGTTGGCCAGCAAATGCTTGGGCATCCACAAATGAGACTATACACCAAGTGTAGACAGGGCCTGAGTCATATGTTTATAATCAAGTGTTGTTTAAAACATGTTCTCAGAATTCTTAAACTCAAACTTGATTTTATTTGGTATTCCTTTCTCTATCCGAAGCCTAAAATGAGCCAAGAGAAATCACATGATTTTAGAAAGTACCGGGAGCATATGTGTGGTTTCTGACTTCTGGGATGGCATCATTTCATACTAGTTGCAAAATTTGGCTTTTGAAATTTTCAGTTTTAGGGGGATAACATTTTACATCTGTAGTTTTTAAATTATAAGCATTGTCAATCCATATACTCAGGATATTTCTCTTGGACTTGATTCTGCATCTCATGACACTAATAAGCCTGCACCTGAGTAGAAGGGGAGGTAGATTCTCTGATCTTACTGGCAGTCCTCATCCTCCTTCAGTCCAGGTAGTTTTCCTCAGTTTTTCTTTTTCATAAGGCATCCTTAAGCTGTTGTTAAGTTTATTGCTGTATACAGCTCTCATGACTTTACAGATAGAACTATAAACAGTGTGTTTTCTTGTACTCAGAGTATAGACCTAACAAAAACTAACGTTTAGATTCCACCATTACCTAGGATTTACCCAAAAGTTTACACCAAAGATGTAGAGACAATGTGCTTTTTGCTTATGCTTAACTGTCCATTTTTTAAAACAAATGTAAGCAGGTCAGGGATATATATATATATGTCATACATGTATGATATATATATATATATATATATATACATCAATGCAATGCATAAATATGAATAGTGAGAAGGAAAAGAAAGTGAATAAGTCTAATTTTGCATGAAATTAAGTATCTGGGGTTAGGAAAATGTAAAAAGAATTGAGAGGATACCAAGAGCTTAAGCTGGACTAGCCTTATTTGCAAGTGAAGGATCTGGTGCTGCTTTCAGATGTTTATCCTTTGTGTTTTTAAATTTTTTCTTAAGCTTTAATCTTTGTTATTGTCTTAAAGTCAGCTGGTGTTTCTTGTTCATGGACTTTGGTACGATGGTGCTTTGCAAGGATGTATTTATATTTAAATGGCCAACATTTGGTCAGCCCTTGTCCACTCTTCACTCCCCCCTTTTTGTAAAATAAGTGCTTTAATTGTAAACTGTATAAAAATACCTTGTATAAATCCCCTTTTGATTATTACAGTAAGCTGAGTTGTAACAAATGAAATGTTGATTTTTATAATAAAACAGTGGAAAATAAAAGTGTCATTTCTTTTCGGCAAGAAATTAAAATAGCTGATTGTTCATTGATGTGACTTGTGCTTCAGAGGCAACAAACCCACTTTTATTGTTTGTACTTCAAATAAAATACAACCTTGGTAGAGAGGTTTACGCATAGTTCCGTGCAGACCATACCTGTGATTAGGAAACGTTTTGAGCTTCCTGCTCCTGTTTTCAGTATACTCCAGGAAGGAGCCCCGCTGTAGACTCTGAGCCTCCCTGCTCTCGGAATTTGCTTTAAAAATGAACAGTGCCCTTCCTGACACAGAGCCCACTATGATACGACGATGCTGAAAGGGCAGCAGAATATACCCCTTCAGAATACACCACTGAGTCACGTGGGCACTTTAAAACCAGCAATACAGATAGAGGCTTTCTCTGAGCTCCCCCAATCTGTCTAAAGACCAATCCTCCAAAAGGAACACAGTTGTCATAAATCCTAAATCCTTTCCCTGGGAGCTTGATTAAATGGATTCTTCCCACTGGAGAGGAGACTAGAAAAAATAGCCAGACAAACTTCGTCACACTGTCCCACCTCCCACCTGTTCTTCTAAGGACCCATTCATCTCCTAAAATCACTTCCTACTTACTCTTCCCTAAGAGGCCAACATCTTCCCTCCCCTGTTCCTATTCATAGGGTATTTAAGCCTGAATTCTAAGCCATCTAGGGGAGTTTCTCACTTTTCCCTGGCACTATCCCACGAATGCATACGATACATGTGTTAATTTCTGTCTGTTTTGTTCAGCTGTTTTTTATCACAAGGGTCTCAGCTGAGAATGGAAGGGTAGACAGAAAACTATTCTCCCCTACAACACTTACCATGAGAGTGGGTGGAAAACCCAATGAGAACTCAAAGCTCCCCTTGTATCTAAGTTTGCTGGTTGGATGGGAAGAGAGGAAAGCATTATTATTTGGTATTAATTAAGCTCAAACATCAGGGCGTTAAGTGGAACAAATGTTAGTGTAAAGTCTTCTCTTGGAGACTCTCTTTCTTGAGTAAGTAAGCTTACCTTGACTTCTTCGCTGACCCCTCCCATTCTTTTCTTCGGAAAACAAAAATGACAAGTTGGGCCATTCCCAGTGGAGTCCGAGAAAGGAAAGGCAGAAGCATGTTTGCTTTGCCTGATTTAAAGGCAGGCCCGAGAGTGGGAAGGACTGTGCAAGTTGTTTCGGACTCTTCTCTATTCAGGTAGGTTTTCTGCTAAGTTAATACACAAAGTCTTTTTTTAATTTTGCTTTGTGTACAGCTGCAGTATTTCTGCAAATTTAAGTGAAAGGATGAATTGCTGTTGAGGGGGGTCCAGGACATGATAACCCAAAATACGGCACCTTAGCATAGTGAGTATTTTAAGCTGAAGGAATTTGAGAAATGGCAGGTGCAGGAAGGGCCCTCTGAACTTCCCCTGAAGCAGGTCACAAACCTCAACGTGAGAAGTGCCCTCCCTGTACTGAGAGGAAAGAGGCAGCCTTAGAAGACAAAGGGACACGGAAGAGGAACCCGACCAAACAGGCCTCACTAAGTTCACCCTCGCTTATTACACATAGCTCATACTCTTCATTCTCTCATACCTTTCCATGACTTTCCAGTTCTCATCAAACCTAGCAGAAAACACAGGTTTAACCATTTCTTGGGGTCTTCGCTTCTTTATGAGGGCTCCTGAGTCCCTTAAAACGTATATACATTTGTATGCTTTTCTCTTGTTAATTTAATCTTTGTTACGGGGATCCAACTCAAGGACTCAGTAGATACTTTCCTTTCGTACAGTGTGCTCTGATTTCTGGTTCCATTTATTTGTACCACTATGCAGCCTCCATACCACCACCACCACCACCACCTGCCCCCACCCCCGAAAATCCTCTACCAAGGATTTGCATTTGTAAATTCAGCATTTCAGCTTTAATCACCATATAACACCACCATATAAAGCCAGTCTTTCCCAACTAAGAGGCTAAAAATAAAGGATCATTTTGCTAAAATTCGTCCAGCATTTACTGCGCACCGGGTACTAAATATCCTCCCACTTTTTCCCCCTCAAAATAATGAACTGATGAATACCTAAGCTTGACGGGAAATGTCCAGTTTGAGTATGAAAAACGCCAGTGCAAATTTTCATCTGACGCAGTTGGCAGTGGGTGGAGTGAAAAGGACACTAAATTGAGATTGAGATTCTAATCTTTGTTCCATTTTAATTAACTGCCAAGGCACGTCTGAACTCACTTAATCTCTCAGTATTTGTTGGTATTAGGCTCTCACAGAATTTTCCCAAGTTCTTGGGAAGGACTTGGGAAGGGTTAAGGGGATCAGGTTTTATGCAGTGCTTGATTCTCATGACAGGGTTTTGAAGAACCCAATGTAGATCTGGAGCTATTTATATTTTTTATATGTCAGTTTTTGTCATTTATGTCTCTTAAGGAATTTGTCCATTTCCTCTAAGTTGTCAGCTTATTGGCATAAACTGTGTCTCTTCTACTTTCAATTCCTGTTTTCATTTCTGACATGGTAATTTGTGTCTTGGTGAGTCAAGCTGAGGGTGTATCAATATGATTGATCTTTTTAAAAAAATCCGCTCTGGGATGCCTGGATGGCTCAGTCGGTAAAATGTCCCACTCTTGATTTTGGCTCAGGTCGTGATCTCACGGTGCGTGAAACCGAGCCCTGTGTCACTGGGCTGTGTGTGCTTGGGCATGGAGCCTACTTAAGATTCTCTCCCTCCCTCTCCTTGCGCCCCTCTCCTGCTTGCACGCTCTCTCTAAAAAATAGTAACAAATTTTTAAAAATCAGCTCTTGTTCTAAAATTCTCTATTGTGTGTTCATTTTCTGTTTTATCGTTGTCTGCTCATTATTTCCTTCCTTTAACTTATTTGGATTCAATTTGTTAGTGAAAGTTTAAGTCACTGATTTTAGACTTTTTTTCTGATAAAAATATTTGAAGCTGTATGTTTCTCTCTATGCATGCTTTAGCTGCATCCCACAAATGTTGATGTTTTCATTATCATTCAGTTCAAAACAGTTTCTAATTTCACTTGTAACTTCTTTGAGCCATGGATTACATAAAAGTATGTTTAATTTCTACATATTTGGGGATTTTCCAGATAGCATTTTGTTGTTTTTAGATTTAATTCCATAATGATCATAGGTCCTCCGTATGAGTTTAACCCTTTAGAGTTTATTGAGACTTGTTTTACCGGCCAGACTATGGTCTATCATAGTGAAAGTTTTATAAGCACTTGAGAGGTATTAAAAAGAAAATCACAAGTCCAAAATGGAGCCACTTATGCTAGGCCACATCAACAAACCAGGGTGTAATGCTTAACCTAATTGTAGTTTCAGCCTCCCCCAGAAAGGGGGACAGTCTTAACCTGTCACGAATTTTCTAGTCAGCACCAATAAGGTCATCTGTCACATGGGCCCTCTGCCTTCCCCAAAGGTAGATGAGGTAATCTGCCAAATAAAATCCTTTTGTTCCCCAAAGGAAAGTGACTTCACCCGACAGAATCCTTTCTTCTCTTCATGACTTCCTTGTCCTGCCTTTAAAAACCTTTTCCTTTTCTGTGGCCCTTTGGAGCTCTGCTCAACTTGCTACAGGGGACGCTGTCATTTCATGAATTGATCAATAAAGCCAATTAGATCTTTAAAATGTACTTGATTGAGGGGCGCCTGGGTGGCTCAGTCGGTTAAGCGTCCAACTTCAGCTCAGGCCATGATCTCATGGTCCGTGGGTTCGAGCCCCGCGTCGGGCTCTTGCTGACAGCCAGCTCAGAGCCTGGAGCCTGTTTCAGATTCTGTGTGTCTCTCTCTCTCTCTGACCTTCCCCTGCTCACACTGTTTCTCTCTCTCTCAGAAATAAATAAAAAACACTAAAAAAAAAAAAATTAAAATGTACTTGGTTGAAAAAAATGACAAAATTTACTTGGTTGACTTTTTGTTATTTAACTATAGTATTCTGCAGTTGTTGGATACAGTGTTCAGAAAAGGTCAATTAGATTCGTTTGGTTTATACTGTCATTAAGTCTTCTGTATATTTACTGATTTTCTATTCAGTTGTATCAGTTACTGGGAGAAAAGTGTGGAAATCAACTTTAATTGTGGATTTGTCTATTTCCCATTTTAGTTTTGTCAATTTTTGCTTTGAGCTCTGCGTAATTTAGAATTGTCAATAATTCACCTTTTTATCGCTATGCAATGTCCCTCTGCTGCCATATTCCTCGACTTAAAGCCTACTTTGATATTAATATACCGTTCTAGCTTTCTTCCTAGTTTTGCATTTATTTTTCTATTCTTTTACTTTTAACCTATCTCTCTTTCATGTTTAGACATAAAATATAGAGTATAGTTGGGTCTTCATTTTTATCAATACTATTTCTGCATTTTAACTGCAGTATTTAGCCATTTCCATTTAATGGGATTATCGCTATGATTGGATTTGTCTACCATTTTGATATTTTCTCTTTGTTCCAACTGTTCCTTCTTTTTACTCTTCTCTGGCCACCTTTTGAATTGAGTATCTTTTAGTATTCCATTTTATTTCCACAAATGACTTACTAGCTATGCTCATATGTAGTCATTGGTGTATGGTTTACAGCATGTATCTTTAACTTGCTGTAGTCTACTTGAAATAATACACCACTTTGCATATAACATGAAAACCTTAAAACCGTCTGTTTCGTTTTTCCCTTCTAGTCTTTTGTGTTTGATTGTCATACATGTTGCGCATGTTATGTCATGATACATTGTTTTTGCTTTAATCAATTCTCTTTTTTAAAATTTAAAGATGAGAAAAATATTTTTATTTACCTACATATTATTTTGGTGCTCTTCATTCCTTTTTATAGATCTGGGTTTCTAATATAATTTTCCTCACGCTATAGAAATTTCCTTCGGCATATCTTACAGCATTGATCTAATCATGACAGGCTGTGCTTTTGATTGTCTGAAATGTTTCTATTTTGTCTTCACTTAAACAATGTATGACAG